AGGGGCGCCCACGGAGGAGGGAATACTGTACTCATTTGGGCTTACAGGTGGCCAATGAGAACTCAGAAAACTTCGCTCCCTTTCCCCCCTCCCTCTCCCCTTCTTCAGCGAAAGGGTGCATTAGCTTGTCCATTTTTTCCCTACGGCATATAAGACGACTTTCTAAACCATAAAAATCTTCTCAAAAGTTGGGGGTCGTCTTATACATTGAGTATAGCCCAAACTCTATATTTTAACTGGAAAAGTTGGGCGTCGTCTTATACGCCCAGTCATCTTATATGCCGGAAAATACAGTAAGTGTGAAAAATAAGTCAATTTTTTCACTGCCGGTGTGACTTCGTATGGGCACTGAATGGTTGTATTAGTAACAGTTTATTTTTATCTATTTATTAAATTGGTTTGCCATCTATCTTGCCACAAGGTATCTCTGGACATCTTACAACATTAAATACAGCATTTGCATTTGGTATGCATTTATATCTAAAGACAAGACCTATCTTTCTCTCCACAACAGCAGTTGTTTGCGCTAAGTTGCTGATGTACAGAAGGACTGTCCCAAAGTCACCCATTGAGATTTTGTGGCTGTGGGTAGACTTCTGTACACTCTGGGTCTCTTGGGTCCTGGTGTAACACTTTGGTCACTAAACCACCACAAGAATTAGAATCAATCTATTGATGCTTCCTGGTTTCAGATGGAAGCTTAAGATACATTTTGTTCCTTTAGGCTTAATAATTGCACAATATCAATCTAGAACTAATACAACCTGGCATTCACATGAAATCTTTCTGCATTTTGTAGCTGCAAGGTATTCTGTGTGAAGAACTTTGCCCTCTTGTACTGTTTACTGTGGTTTGCTTCTTGTTGCCCTTGTGTATCATTTGAAAATAAATCAGCCAGCCCGGATGTTTTACATTTTAAATGGAGAGACATTTTGTTAGTACTACCATCTGCTGGTTAAAGCTACTTCTGGCAACTAAATGAAAAAGCAGAAGAAGGAAAGTTATTTTAGAGATTTTATGAAAATGTACTTTACTGTCTGCATTTGTGACAGAAATTAGCAAACAAAATAGAATTGGAGGGGATCACACTAAATTCTATCTCATCATTGGCTGACCATGTCTGAGCTCAGAAGCAAAACAGGATTGAGCTTAGTTTATTCTTGGTTCAAATCAAGCCCAAATCAACACTGCACCAACTTAATCCAAGGCTTAAAACTAGACTGGGAAATTAAAAAAAATATCCATGGGACACTGGTGGAACTACATCTTTGGTACTTCTATAAAGCCATGCACAGATATTCCAGTAGCCTTACCTGGGATTGAGCTCAACTTGAAAGAACATTATTTTTTAATGTCCATTTGATCCAGCTTTGTTGAGAGGACTGGCAAAAGGATATGGGCAGCATATAAGCAACAAATGTACAAATTCCATCAAATCACATTTGCTCTCCTTGTGTAGAGCAATCAATGACTGAATACTTCCTCAAGAAGCTAAATTTAAGGAATGCCTGGTTTTTCATTGGAACTCAGAAGCTAGCACAGCCGGAGTTGACGTTTCTATATATCCATGTTTATACAATACCATGAATAGGCCAGCTCAAGTTTACAAAATTGAGTGCGTACTGTTAAATAACATTTCATTGGCTAAGATGGCTAAAAGAAGAAATCCCAGTGGGAGGGAAGACTCAAATCATCAGCGATAACTCTTTCTGCATAATTTTTATTTAAAAAATTAATAACGTATATTAGTTTTAAGATAAAAACTAATACAAATTAATATAAAATAAAGAAAAAATAAAAAGGAAGCCAAAGGTGCAAAAAGGGGAAAAAGTAAAAGAAAAATAGAAAAGAAAGAAAAAAAGATGCTAAGAGGTCGTTTCTGATCTTCTTTACAACCATTATAAATACAAGAATAATTTTATCTCTTTCTGTGTGTTTACAAAATAACTCTCTTCTTTCTGTAATTTATCCTGTCTATATAAACATTAAAACTGTAAATCCTAAATTCATTATTTTCTATGCAAAAAGTCCATAAGGGTTTTCTAGTCAGCAATAAACATGTTGTCTTTTCTCTGATCAAAGAAGTCAAATTCACCATTTTAGCATCAATGACACTCTCAATTGGAATGTGGAACCCTACCTTTAAAAAAAAATCTCAGACGTCTTTTGGCATATGAACAACAAACCCACAATGCCTAGTTTATATAATAATCCAGGATATAATGTGATTGGGATGAATTTTGTTGTGCTTCTCTTGCATGCTCAAAAAAATGTTCTTTAGTACATACAATGGATCAAACTATAGATGAGAAGAATGTATAGATCTAATAGAAAAATGGGGGAGGAAAGACAAATATTTTTATAACTGATGACCATGTAAAAGTTGAAAAAAGTTGAAGTTGAAAACAATTAGACTATGTAAAAAAACTACTACTAGATCTGTTGCTGCTTATTTCCCTATAGTGGCAAAATGTGGCTCCCGCTATTGAAATATTTGGGGGTTTTCTCCTATGAAATAGAGCGAGGTGAGATTCATTTTGTAAGTTAACGAATTTGAATGTGGCATAATTGCAGATGAACACTCGGATTAAATTCCTGTCTGGGAATTGTTATGTCAAAGATGTCCTCTAGATGGCACTTTCTAACTCTGGTAAAATAATTACTTTTGTGGTCTGAGTTATTAACAGTCTTTTAAAAGGCAGTATCTGCAAAGGTTTCTTTAGATAGTAGAAGAAACAAACAAAAGATTCAAGCCTGAGCACACATGTGTCCAGGACATTTTGGGCTTTTCAAACCAAAAATAATAGAAGTTTAAGTAGAATGTATCTTGCAGATCAGGTGTGTCCAATCATGGCAACTTTAAGGCCTATGGACTTCAACTACCAAAATTCCCAGCCAACTGAAGTTCACAAGTCTGAAAGTTGCCTAGGTTGGACAACCTTGCTGTAGCTAAAGAAAGATAGCACAACCATTTCCACACTACAAGGAAGCCAATGTTATTGGACCCACTCGGACAAGCTTTTAGATGCAAAGAATTTTCTATCACAGAACAGAAAACTTACTGAAAGAAAGAATGAGAAGACCCACACCTTGTCAAGAGCAATCAGGGCAGACAATGAAGAAAGAAAGATAAGAATCTGAGGAGCACATTGCTGGAATTCACCATCACTATATGCATACTCATACCTACTCATAATGTATCTTCACATTATTAACTGTAAAATGCTTGGATTATTAGAATTGAGAGAGGTGCTAAGGAATATAACATGATTGCAAAAAAGTTGAATTAGCATTTGCATCTTACTGGAAAAATGGCAGGCAAATCCTATACCTGAACTGACATTTACAAGAAGGGAATCTGAAGAGTTGACACAAATGAGAAGGATGTTGCAGGATGATAAATATTTAAAAAATTCAAATATAAAGCTGCTGGCTTTCCAACAAAAACAGTAAATGCTTGAGGACAGAAAAGTGGCCAGTCAGAAAACTGTAGGGTTGGGAGGGACCTTAGGTGCCATTTTGCTCATTCTTCCCTCAGTGAAGTATTAACCAGAGCAGTATTTGTTAATCTTGGCAACTTTAAATATGTGGACTCCAACTCCCAGAATTCCCCAGCCAGCTCTTCAGGGCTGCCCAGTTGCTAAGGTTGAGAAATACTGGATCAGAGCATCAACACTATCACTATGAATCTGTTTCGAAGATCTCCTATGAAGAAGAACTAACCACTTCATGTTGCAGCCTCTTCCTCTGGCTGATAACTCATCTAGTCAGGTAGTTCCTCCTCTTTACTTTGGTTTTGGCCCCATCCCTGGGGCAACAGATGATCACTCTTATCTTCCTTCTGACAACTAAAGAGTTAGTTGAAGATTGTTCCCATAGCTACCCACAACTTTAAGCTGTGTGGATTTCAACTCCCAGAATTTCCCAGCTGGCTTGCTTGCTGGAGAATTCTGGGAGTTGAAGTCCATACAACTTAAAGTTGACAAAGTTGCAAAACATTGACTTAGAGGATCAGGAGATGGGGGATCACATTAGGTTTCCAAGTAGCATATAAGGGATTGTGCTTCAAAACCAGGAGACCTGGGCAAAGAAGTGGATAAGGCAAAGTTAAAAGCCAAATTTGATTTAATTTAATTTACATCTAATTAAAATTGACCCAAACTATTGGTATTATATTGGTTAATATAATACCTCCCTTTTCCAGATTGTGTCTGCTAGTTACACACGATAAATCTTCTTGTAAGAAATTGATATGACTGTAGAGTACAGTTGGGTTAAAGTTTGAATTGCTAAAGATGCTGAACTTAAAACATTTCTTAAAACAGCAACTAAATAAATAGATGTACTGAAATAAAGAAGTTCAGTTTTCCTTGGATTAATCCAGATTATAATGAATCCTGAAATGTAGTTGAGATTTTGGCCTTATTGTGGTGCTACATAATCTTCCCGCTAATAGAGGCCTTCAGATCTCCACAGTGACCTTTAAAGGTCATCTGACATGATGCAGAATTAATTGTGTTATAGCCATTGATGTATTGTGCTGATGTTTGTGCATCTCCCAGTACAAGGGATGTCATAACTTGCTTTGCTTATTCATCTCAGTGTCTCATTAGACAACAATTACATTCTTTTTTATCTGCAGCTCCAAAGTATTCTTTCTTGTTTTGCTCTTAGGATGAAATGAAATCTGTCTGCAGCCGTGACTCTTCCTAGGGAAGGCAGCAACTATTTTTCACTTAAATAAAAGGTCATGAAGAGAAACTGTTCAACAGAAGACTGCATTTGCTCTCCTGCAAAATAGTATCACTTTCTCATTAAAATGTCCTACTTATTCATCAGTTCTTATAAGTTATTATGGTAAACAATTTTTTAAAAATTCCAACTTCTCAAAAGAAGCATGGCTGCTCACTTAGCTTAATCCCTGGGAAAAAGTGTTCTGCACTGCAAATTGTTGCAGATCTTGCTTGCTTCAAATGAAAAAGAAACACAAAATCACAGAATCTTGGGGAAAATGTAATTTATTTTGCAGCTAACACTTTGTGGATTCCTTCTGCAACTATCATTTCATATACAGACTACATCTGAAAAGGCAAATACAAAGACATATTCTGCAAGACATGCAAATGTGAAAACAACTTGTATAGTGGAAAATATAATGGCATCATTTTATCTCAAAATAAAAGCCATTTGAAAAAAACAATATTAATGTTAGTGATTTGCCTGTTTTGTGTGCACAATATTACATCTGGTACTATGCTCTGAGAAATACATACGATCACAGTATACAGACTAAAGAACTAATTTCATCATTATGAACAACTTCATTTTAAATGCCAACATGATGCAAAACAATCCAGCTAAAGACTTATTTTCTGTTTTATTATTAAATTAAACTCTCTGGGTTGAGGATAATTACCTAGCGATTGAATCTATACTCTGAAGAACAACCTGAATTTGATTGATAAGGACTGACAATCAATGGACATTTTGATGTAAAATCAGACACTTATTTCTTTTTATCTTATATTAAAAGCAAAGTAAATAAAACCAAAAATAATAGAAAACTACAGTGACTAAACCTATGGTGAGTTCTATAACTTCTTCTCCAACCACAAATCTGCTGATTGGGTACAATAAATCACTTTCTTGTAGGATGAAAAAAGCTGTGTTAAATCAAAACTACAAGTCTAGGAGCATTAGATTTATGGCAATCTAAGAGGAGATTTATGCATCCATTTCAACCTTTTTCCTCCAAATATTGATTGGCTAAGTACAAATATCTCTTCTGTGCTATCTCACCTTCAATTCTATAAGGATTTAAGGAATGAGCAATAGTGGAGAGATAGTATTGGTTATAGTTTTTATATATATTTGAAAGTCACTTCCAAAAAAGACACCCAGGTAATAATTGAGGACTCCAGCAACAGACATCAGGAACAGAAAAAATATGATGCGTTTTCCAAAGATGTAACCAGGAGTGCTTAAATGAGAATGGAAGAATGTTATTAGTTCATTAGGAAATATCAAAATCTCTGAACCTCTTATCAAAGCAAGATCCATTTGAGTACAGTATAGTTTAGATGGAGTAAAATTTTGCATGAACCCATATCTCTGCAGCAGAGTTGTGAAATTATGGTAGCATATAAATTTGATGCAATACATTTTAAAATATATAGGGATAGATTAATATGCCTCTTAATTTATGTCTACTTAAGATGACTTATTGACGATTTTGGCAATGTAATTTTTTTCATTTTTTTTAAAAAAATCATCACTAGAATACAGTAAACCCCTGAAAACAGTTTTAGGAATCCAAATAACAGCACCCATCCCTACCCAATAGGGGCTGAAAATTCTAGTACCACTCCTCCTGCTAATATCATAAACTTTTGTTAAATATTATACATATTAAATATTTTTTTTTAAAAAAATTAAAAGTTGCAAAAATATTGCTTGCTTCTGCTTTAGCTGACTATCCCATAATCCCAGTGCTTACTGCTATAAGTTGGTGTGTCCTGTATATAAAACAGTGCAGTGGCTATGAAACAAGTGGTGCTTGACACTGGTAAAGGCAAACAGGATGAAAGGGATGTTCTAATCCAAGGAAGGTTGATGAACTTTTTTGTGGTCTTCTATGTTATGTTTTGAATCTAACTTCTTTGTAATCTAACATTAAGTTCTTCATATGCACTCTGCAAAAGTGCACTCTCACGATCTCTAAATACTTAAGACTCAACTGTTCTGTGTTAAGTAATTTTGAATTTACACTTAGTTTCAGGATATAATAACCCCTTCTGTTCCACTATACTGTCTTTGTAAGAAACCCAATAGCCACCATGCACATGGTAGCCATTAGAAATAAGTTACTGATCTCAGCATAGTTCCAATTTGTTTTCAGCATCCTGATCTCAGAAAGGGTATGGAATTGTCTGAATAGTGAGGAACAATGTTAGAGTGTTTGTGAAGGAGAAGGCTGATCCTCTGGGTGTGCTATAAATTGTCAGTTTATATATGTAGTAACTCATTCGTATATAACTATATACTGTATATGTGACAGATAGATGCACTGCACATATGTAACTCAAGCATATAAGACACTCCGAGTTGCCTAGAACTGCAAGATGGGAGGCAAATAAACTTAATAAAATAAATGAATATATGAATGTTGTTTGCATATGGATTTAAAGCACAAGGAACTGCAGAGAACAAAACAAGGTAGATCTATTTCCTTTATTCTATTCATTTCCTGCTCTGCCTGGCAATCCCCCAATCCTATTTAAAATGGCAGACTTTTCATCTTTTATTTGTCAGACTGAATTAGCTTGAGAGGGCAAATCTGAAACAGTCTTGCCTGGCTTAGTTTTTTCCAGATGTTTTGCACTACAACTCTTGCAATTTCAGCTGATTATGGGAGATGTAGTTTAAAACATCTGGAGAGAGACAAATTAGAATTACCGAATATGGGATTAGTAATTGTAGCACTGGCAGAAGGGAGAAATAACTCAAATGCTCATCTGACAGTTCTGGGAAAAAAATGATGGATTTACCTCTGGGTCCTTTCTCCCATGTAGCCAACAAAGTATTTTTGTCTCACAAACAAATACATCAATCCAGCAAAGGCAGCCGCAACTAAAATAAAGAAAGGAAGAACCTGTTTTTAGATGGGCTGACTTCACACATCATTATAAGTCATATATGCTATAGTTTACATAAGCATCTGGTAGAAGCCACAATGATATCATAATGCACATATCATATGTCCTTCTGCAGATGCCCATGATGTCTAGGCCACAGCTCGTTGGTTTCATATACTGTGCTAAACCAGGAACCATGATTAACAGACATTGCTGTTTATGAAAACAGCTGTTTATAGCCAACATCGTGCTATAAAATATCTATGTGTATGCCTTAGGATGATATTTATATTATTAGATCTCTTCCCATAGCTTTTGAATGGAGCCACCTCCCTTACTTATCTTGATCTCTCTAGCAAGAATCTTTCAAAAGGAGAATTTAGAAAAATTTGTTCTTAATCAGTGGAACAACTTGCCTTCAGAAGCTGTGGATGCTTCAGCACTGGAGGTTTTTAAGAAGAGATGGTACAACCATTTGTGTGAAATGGTATAGTGTTTTCTGCTTGAGCTATGAGTTGGACTAGAAGACCTCCAAGGTCCATTTCAACTCTGTTATTCTCATAAAAGGGATTGGGGAAATAAATTTTAATATAAGGTCCATGTAATGATAAGAATTAGCATCTATTATTTCCCTTTCCTTTCTCCACCCATTTTTCCTTTTGTTATGTTTTATTACATAAACCAACAGTTGGGGACCGTCTCTGGGAGCTTTTTAGACTGAAGAGCAGGATCTGAAGTGTGGATTACCTACCTTGGCTGCACAGCAGGCCAGCACACCAAAGGACAGCAAGAAAGGTAGGATAGGCATCTCTGCAATTTTGGCTAGAGTAAAATTAGGAAGAGGAAGAGTAAGGGCACATTCTACTGAGATTAAGATAATGTATCCATAGCCATGAAATTTTAAAAAGTAGTTAACAAGTAGTATATAAACTACTTATATAAATCCTGTTTTGCTTCTTAATCTGTTAAAGGTCTTAAATAAAATTGTTCAGCATAAATAGTATTTACACAAAGTTTAGTTCAACATAGGTATCACTCAGTGCTCTGTTTTACCTAGGAGACTGTATGGCCATTGCCAATGATGCATTAGAGATTTGTTTAGCTTGCAAGTATCCAATTTCTTGTTTTCATGATTTACATTTCTTTGTATTTTGCGGTGAAACAGCCAGCAGTTACATGAATTTAAAAACTGGAAAAATCTTATCAAATGTGCATATATTAAGGAAGTAATGTATAAAATACAATATGTTAGGGGAACATTAAAACTATGCTTTTAAAAAGTGAGTGTGGGTGTGCTGTGTGGGGGTGTTTGTGTGTGTGCATGTATGGTATAAATATATATTTCAAAGTGAAATTTCAACTGAAATACATGAAAGTAAAATTATTCTCAAGTTCAACAAACAGAATATGGTATATTTGTTAGGAGGCAAAGCAGAAAAACCAAGGAGTTGTTGAGAGTCAGATGGCACACACATTTAATAATGGATTCATAAATTAAATTTTTAATCATAAATTCCACCCTCTGAAAGGAGCACCTCGCCTGGGGATAAGGATGGTGCCCTCTCTTCTAAGGTTCTGGAAAATTCAAAAACCTGGCTTTGGTTTCTTGTTGAAACTTGTTGAGATGGCTAAATTAACTTGGCTAGAGGAAAAAACAATATCTACAGTACATTTATGATTGACTGAAAGCACCTTATAGACTTTTTACAAAAAAATGGAATAAATGCATTTATAATTTGTGGTTTTGATGATTAGGAAAAAATGGATAATAGTAAAGAGTGAATTTTTGACTTCCGGTTCGTCACACAGCCGCCATGGACGGTTGGGAGACTTGCTCTCTCTCCCCTGTTCAGTTTTGCATCGCTGGGGGGCCCTGAAAAGGGCCTAAAGTCACCCCGAAGAGGTGACCAGCAAGGAGGGGCTTTTGTTGGATCCCGGGAGAGCAGCAACTCTTCCGTCAGACCAGGCGATCCCTCCAAACTGGTGATCGAAAGGACCGGCCATAGAAATATGGCTCATCCCTAGGCTGCAAACAGCCGAAGTCACACTACCATCTGACAACTTCAAAGCAGCGTGGACAGGACTCGGTGAGGTTTGCCTCTCTTACATCCTAACTACTTAATTACCTGCACAAGCTGCTAAAGTACTTTCCCCCCTGTGGTGAGGGAAGGGGGATTCTAGCCCTCCCTCCAGAAACAGCAGCTATCAACCACTTGGGAGTTTAAAACGTTGGAAAAATACTGAGATCTTAATTGGAATCCTATTTCCTAAAATTGGTGGATTATAAGATTTGCAACTTTCTGCTCTCTCTATATATATTTCTTCCTTGATTTTTATTCTAATTACTATTGAAGATTTGGGGTCCCCCCCCTTAAAATAGAGTGAAAAAAATTAAAAAGATCCAACTAACTCTAAGACATAACCTGTTACTCTCTAAGAAACTTGTTGATAGCTTTGAAAATAGACAAGATAAAAAATAACCTTGAAACTCCATCTGCAAAATTCAGCTCAGCTCCCTATTTGGTGGACTTTCTGACTGTCAGTTTCTTTCTCTTGAGTTTAATATATTACAATGGAAGGAGAACAGGAAAGGATTTCTTCTATAGAGGAAGTACAGGAACAAATTCTTTGTATGTTAAAAGTGATGATGCAAACTCTACGTATGCAAGCTCTGGATATACAAACTCAAACTATGACTTCAATCAAAGAATTATCTATACAGAATTCTATAGAGAAAGTGAAACAACCAAATGTTATGACAGAAGACTTAGATACTCAACAAATACAGACAATAGAAAACACAAAAAAGAAATTGGTAATAGAAAACAAGGAAAGGGTGTTTCTTATAAACCAGAAGGAATTTGAAGATAAACAAGAAAAACAGATGAAAGAGAAGATAAATACTTGGGGACAACTGCATCGAACTGGAAAAATAAAGAGACTATTGGCTAAATCAAGTCCTCTTAAGAAAACATCAACTGGATGTTCTTATCAATATCAAACAATAGCCACAACAATACAAGGAGATTTTTTTTGATGATTTAAAGGCAAAAATATGAAAAATGACCTGGCAGAGGAAAAAAGCTAGAATAAGATTGAAAAAGATTGGGGTTCTGATCTATATATGAGATCTAAAATAGAATATATCTAAATAGATAGAATATGTATTCTGGACACAAGACATTGTACGATTTGAGATAAAGAAAATTTTGGTCATATAAAAACTAGAAATATGTTGAAATAAAAATATTATATTGTCATTAGATGGGTAAGATAGAGAGTAGAAGTTATATATAAGGTGTGTATTTTAAATATTAGAATGTATGAGCAATTGGGATAAAGGAATTGTGTTTAATTAAAATTTGGAAAAATTAAATATTAAATGTAATCTGAATGTCTACAAATAATTAAGATTTGAATTTAAGATATTGTTATGAGTTGAGACAAAAGTTAAGTAAAACTTAAAAGTATAAGTACTAATAATTAAATTTGTTTATGGGTTTGTGGTATAAATGTTGGTGGTTTATTTTCTTTTTTTTTTTCTCTTTCTGGAAAGGAAGAAAGGAAGGAAGTAAAAGGAAGAAAAGAAAAAAAAGTTATTAGCTCCAAATGTGAGATAGGAGACTTAGAAATTGGGATCATTTAAAACCTGGAAACGATAAAGATCAAATGTTAAATTTAAATATCAATGGCAAATTAAAGTTAAGAAAAACTTACTAGGTTATTGTCTAAAAGGTGGAATGTCAAATTAATTAAGATATGTATAGACTGAATATTATTGATGAATATTAGAAAGGTATTTTTGTTTGATTAATAGAATAAGAACTGTATTGGTTTGAACATGACAGTAGATATCATGGGGGAAAGAGAGAGAATTAGTTTGTTGTAATAATTTGAGATTTGTACTGATGATATTCAAATGTAACAGAATTACTGTGCTCAGTCGCCACGCTACTTTTCAAATATGTAAATGTAATATTGTAAAATTAATAAAAAAAACTTGAAACTGGTAAAGAAAGAAAAAAAAAGAAAAAAAAGAGTGAACTTTCTTTTGTAATCATACAACAAGTGATAATTTGTAATTCTACATATTTGCTGCAAAGGAAATCTGAAGTTTCTTCTTTCTATTTCTTTTTCTTTTTGTGCTTTTGTCTTTTTTCTTTTTTTTGCCTCTCTTTTCCTTTCTGCTTTTAGTTTTATTAGTTTGTAATATATATTAGTTTGTGATTGAGATACCCACAAACACACATGGGAAGCAAGTGGAGAGTTGATGGCACCGTTGTTGCCACCTTCTTTAAAAATTGTATTGTGTGTGGACATCCCTGATTTTGCTTTGTACACGTGATTGGAGAATTTTCTCACTATGCATACAACAGTTGAATTAGAGACCACTGAGTGCTGGGGCTACCAGATTTGGGTTACAAAAGTCTGCATGATCATGAAAAGACCGCAAAGAGAAACAAAAAACATTAACCCTTTACTATCCATTAAAGGTTGTCTGGAGTCTTGCAGCCCAAGTGTGTAGGTGAAATGCCCTGTTATCTCCATTGGCTTAACCAAGAAATAGCTTCATAATTGAAGGCCAGCCTTCTAGGGCTGGTGAGGTAGATAGGAATTGTGTTTAAAATCAAATTGCTGTATAGCTTGGCTCCACAAATTCCCAGGAAAGCTACTTCTGTAACAGGTACAGTGCTTTTTTTGTAAAAAAAAAAAAAAAAAAGGTGCCGGAACTCACACGTCAGACAACCTGCCTTGCCTACCCGACAAGGTTCCATCCCAAAAAGGTGCTGGAACTCCATTCTGGGCGTTCTATGAGAAAAAAAAAAGCCCTGAACAGGTATATTTAGCAGCTTTAGCAAGATTTGAGTTCCAGAATACCTCTTTAGATTCTGCCATTCTTGCAGCCACATCTGCAACAGTTAAGAATAAATAAAATATATGGAACTTTCTCTCTCTCTCTTTGAACATTAATGTGAAAAGGAATACTCACTTGGCAGTAAAGACACGGTCAAAGGTGGATGGACAACACTTCTGATTTGTTTTGCCAGTGGTGTTTTTGCTTTCCTGTTCCACTTTGCTTGCAAAAAAGGCTGAGGGTTTTTTTTTTAAAAAAGCACAATGAATTTTTATTGTAGGTTTTGCTTTTTCTTGATGTAGAACACCAAAGTTACTAAGATACATGAATATAATTATAATATCAAAAACAGCAACGTGAAACATTCATATTAAGCAAACAGTTAAAATTATTAGTTTTATTTTTTATTTTATTATTTTAAAACAGCAATCTGCTAAAATATGTGAAAATATTTCTATGACAATATAATAGCTAGCTAGCAAAATGTCAGTATGAAACAGAAATATTGCATTGCAACAGATAGTTTTTTAAAATTCAGAATAGTATGGTTAGATACAACAATTTACCCAACCTGTTGAAAGCCTTCTTCCCATGCCCTCAAAATCCTGCTGTGCCACCTCACTGTGGTAATGGTGAGGTGTTTATTGGAGGAGTATATGCCAAGAGTATATAATCTCAACAAGGTCATCCAAGGTGTGAAGGTCATCCCAGCTGTCCAGCTAAAGCAAATGGGCAACAGCGATATAGTAAGATGCTGGAAGCAAATTACAGTTTTAGGGACAATGGCAAAGGCATAATTTCATATTGCGTGGAAGAAGGTAATGTACTTTATTAAGAAAATCACATGGATAGAAAATATAAAATGATTGGTAATACAGTGCTGATAATAGACCTGTTGGGTTGGATAGCACTTAACATGGAACAAGGAAGAACTGAAGATCATTTAGAAAACAAATGATGTTTATGGCATAGCTAGAATAAAGCCTCAGAGGCATCTAGTTGTCCAGGCTGCCATGCAGAAAAATAAAATCCAAAGGTTGAAAGACAGAATTACAATGTGAATGTGGAATATAAGAAGCTTAAACCTGGGAAAGTTCAAAACAATGAAAGATGAAATGAACTGACTTGCTTAATTAATTAATTTGCTTAATACGCAAACTGGAACAAAATTCACTTAACAACTGTCTTGCTTAGCAACTGAAATTTGGGGCTCAACTGTGGTCGTACATCGAGGACTACTTGTATTGGGAAGTTTCTAGGCCGACTTTTCTGCAGATAGGGAACTTTGAAACCACTACTGTCAAGCTGCTAGCTCACAATTATATCTCCATCTGCATGCAAAGAACAATACTGAACAGAAGAAGGAAGAGAGATACTAGTGTGCTCTATTGAGAAAAAGTAGTGATTACTAAGGACTTTTGTCACTTCCCCTTAACTGCTGCGTGACAATGCCCCAGTAGCCACTTTCTTCATGTCCACATCAAATAGTCTTTGTGTCATCCCCAACACAAAGAGCTGAGGAAGCTCAAAATCATCCTTAGCTGTGCTCCTGTTAAAGTAGCATTTTCCCTCTTCTCTTGCCATGTTTAGCCTGCTTCATTGATGATATTGTTGCTGGTGCAACCATGCATTGGCATCTGTTCAGCTCAGACTGGCACACCTGTTCCCTTCCAAGGGCTAGAATCTGCCTTTTCAGCTGAGGCTATAGGATAGGTTGCACCCTTGGTTTCTACAGAAGCATCTGCCATTGTAATGCCTCTCTGGTATTGTTAGTCTAATTGGGGCTTCATATAAAGATGGGCTTAAAAAAACTCTAGTCCTGTATTTAAAGAGAAGGCACTAATCCTGTGCCACCCAGAAAGTGAATTTAAACTAGGAAAGAGGTATGTTCTTCCTTCTGCCACCATTAAATGCTTTTCTACTGCTTCTGCCAACATTGATTTGGCATGGCTGTTCTTTAATTTTTTGCTTTCTTACTTGATTGATTGACTATGTGCCATTAAATCATTGTTTTACTCCTAAAGACCACATTTTCTCCCAGACAATCTATTGCTAACCTAGTCTTTCAGATCTTCAGTGATGAACCCATCACCACCATGTCCATCCATCTTGCTGCTGGTCAGCTTTCTTTTTCCTTCCATCTTTCTCAGCATTACAGTCTTTTCCAGAGATCTGGGTCTTCAAGGCCTCCATCAAGGATGAATTTTAAAACTGTCACTGTGATATCAAAGCATTGGTATACATGTGTGTCTGTGTGTGTGTGGGGGGGGGGTTGTATATTCAACACTGTTCTGGCTTTGACATACTAAGATGCCATTTGTGATTATTGTTATTATGCTTTGATCAATCACAATTACTATCTTTATAGTTATTTCTTAGATACTTTCAGACATTGCTGGTCATGAAGTCAAAACTTTTCTTCCACTTTTTGCTTTTTCTTTTATCTCTTTCTTTTCTTGCATTTTCTGCTTTTTCTATGATCTGTTGCTTTTTTCTTCTTTACTTAATATTAGTTTATGTTAGTTTTTGTCATCTTATTTTGTTTCATGCCACATTCTAGGGTGCACGTGTGACTTGTAACCCAGGCTATTTTTGAACACAGGCTTCTGTTGTACTAAAGTGATAAATCCATGTTCAGAAACACCCCAATTGCCTGTTTCTAGGTGTGGAGGAAGAGTCATCCTAAGCATGAATTCTGAAAAAGCTCCCTTCCACTTCACCCCCTCATTAAGCAAGTGGCTTAACACATCAAAATCATCATCATCACATTTTAAATGTGATGGATGGAAAAATGGAACCAGAGAAATCCCAGTTGCCTTCTATGACTTGGCTCCAGGAAAAGGAAAGCTGGCCTGATTTCTGTGACACAAGAAGGATGACTATGGGGACAGCATAGTTGATGTTCAACATGCTTACCTGCCAGCTCAAGGCCTGGTGGAAGCACTTTAACGCAATTATCTGAAAGACTCGTCTTCTTTTTTTTATTTTTTATTTTTTTTCCTGAATGACCAAGGTCCATTTACATAGTTGCATCACAACTTCCTGAAATGAAACCTCAACGTTGTTTCCAAATGTTGTACTTCCTTTGCCTGTGCTTTGCACTCATATCTATGCATCCAGGTCAGCTGCAGATTGATTCACAAAACCGGAGCAGCGGTGGAGTTATGTGTCATTCTCCCTGCCTTTAAGGTAACAGAAAATTCAGCTATTCCTGCCTGAAGATTGTACTTCTGACCTCATCTGGACCTTATCTGCACATAGCTATGAAGCCTGGATTCCATTTTTTAAAAAATAAAGGCATTTCTGTGGAACATTTCAGAGGAGAAGCACTATCATGATGGAATTTAACTCTTTCCACACCCACTCTCTTTCAGTGCTGGAAATAATTTCCCATATTTCCTTCATTTAGTTTAAAATACAGATTACTTTGAAGCAGGAAGCAGGAAGAAGGTATATGAAAAAGTGAGAGCATAATGAGATAAATCATAAAAAAATTAACAGGAAAAAACACTACTTTTCTGTGTTTAGCTAGGACCTTATTCCTCTTTTACCCTCTCAAAAGAGTGCAATCCAAATTTCTAAGGGCTATTGCACCCTATGTTTCTAATCCAGTAGTAAGGAGGGAGGCCGATTGTACAAGATTGAAACAGATGGATGGATTTGCATTATAGCATGCTGACTGAAATTACTGTTCTTTCCTACAGGTCTCAGCCCTCTTCTTATGGAGGATAATTATAAGTCAACATGGATTAGGACTATTTCACTTAAACTCCAACATATCAGCTTCTGCAAGGAGGAATTCCTATTGATGGGCTATGAGCATGCACTTAGTGCATTTAGACAATGTATTAAAAATCAGGAAGTCCAACAGGATCCATCTGTCTACCCAAGAATGGTTTCTTTAACAGTCAGTCTTCTCTTCACAAATCAACAAGATATTTATATAACTATCTCTAAATTTTGGAGGACCCTAACTCTAACACATTGTAATGTTCTCCCCACAGCAATTCTGGAGGGCTGATACAAAAATATTGAGATACGGGCTGAGACTGTGCCCCTGTGGATAAAGGGCTATTGAAACCGCAACTCAAGTCCTGTTATTGTCATGGTTCTGACAGATGAAACTCTTCAAAAGAACTTCAAGGCCTTAAAGAATCTTTATTTTGAGTAGCATAATATTGGCATAATATTGGCACTGCATAATCGAACCCAAAAACTTAATTCCCCTCCCCTGAGCACATAGTATCAAAGCACAATTCCCTCCTCTAATTAACAGTCATAAATCACATTCCCCAATTAGCTTGAAGCTTCCTCTCCAGTTCTCCAGCCCCAATTCCTTATCAGCTCTGGTTACAATAACCTTGTAACTGCTAGGTTTAGTGTTGTTGTGTCTAGCTGGGCTCTCATTCACATCCCCCCTCCCAGCATAATCTAACTCTAAAAGCAAAAAGTAAAAGATGGCTACATTTCCATCTGTTGTCAATGCAAAAACATCCGATGTTAGCAGCATTGACAGTTATATTGCACCTCTATAACAGGGTCTTCAAACTTGGCCCTTTTAAGACTTGTGGACTTCAACTCCCAGAATTCCTCAGCCAGCATGTCTGGCTGAGGAATTCTGGGAGTTGAAGTCCACAAATCCTAAAAGGGCCATGTTTGAAAACCCCTGCTCTGTAAGGACTCAGAGGCTCATTTTATAAACACCTTACCTGACAAAATATCTGGGAAATTCTGATCTCTTTTATGTAGAGCTGCTGCAGTTGATCAGTATGATGAAAACATCTTTGAACATAGCTAAATTCTGCTACACTGTCTGTAAAATTAGGCAGTTTTTGGTCAATTATTGATGATTCCACCATTAATTGCAATACACTATTATGTCTTGTTCTATTCTGTTTTATTATATTTTAATGTTTTAATTTTATTCTGGTCTACGGCAGAGGAAGATTGGCATCTCTCTTCTCTGCTTTAAATTTCACTTCTAAATACTCTTTTCTTTTAAAGAAGAAAATTTGTAGCTCAGAGTTGAAATGAGGAGTCCTTGGTGCTCTCTGAGCTTGGTTGTTTTCTTGCAGACATTTCATTACCCAAACTAGGTAACATCGTCAGTGCTAGCTTCGATGTTACCTAGTTTGGGAATGAAATGTCTGCAAGAACAACCAAGCTCAGAGAGCACCAAGCACCCCTCACTTTTTATTCTTCTTTCTCTTCTTATTAAATGATTTGGGAACTTCAAAATATTATATCGGGCTGTAAAAGAGTGGAAATATTCTTCAATGTCTTAAGAAAAAAATGTCAGGTAAAGTAAATGATTCCAATCTAGCCTTAGAAAATATTATCCTAGAACAGTGTTTCTCAACCTTGACAATTTTAAGGCATGTGGACTTCAACTCCCAGAATTCCACAGCCAGCATTGCTGGCTGTGGAATTCTGGGAGTTGAAGTTCACATGCCTTAAAATTGTCAAGGTTGAGAAACACTGTCCTAGAAAGACCCTCTTTAGCTGTCTTTTCCCATGGTTGAGTTGATGCGCTCTCCATTGGTTCTTGAATCAGTTGGAAATTCTACTAGTATGTAATGTGCTGATTTTATTCTGCTTCTATTGCCTTTGTTCCCTGGCATTGGTTGATAGAGCCTACGAGATTTTACACAACCGAGGCTGGCTTAGTACTAGTACTATAGCTAAATACCCACTCATAGGCTGACAACTTGATGAAAGCAATGCCATAGAACTTAACAGAAAAAAAATGTTGCCAGGACGTCTTTGTGGCATGGTTACATGCCACTTTTTGTGTCCGGTTATTTCTCATGCTACTATTTCAAGGAGTGAACCTAAAGAAAGAAAATAAAAGATTGCCAGTAAAGTTACTTCCAATCCATTTTAAACAAAATGGAATGTACAGTATGGTTTTATTCCTGTACACATAAATACACATTGTTTCAATACATCTGCAGTAGGGTTCTTTCTTTGTCCCCCCCCCCACTTTTTTTTTTTTTTTGGTGTTCAGCTCTTCATCTGGAATTTTCACCACCATCTGAGTTGAATATGAAGCTTGCCTGAACATCTGTGTACTGAAATTAAAGTCTTAAAAACAGAGCATTATTAAGGCCATTATCCTACTAGCTAGGCAGTATAAATGTCTAATATTTCAGCACAAGGATGGTTGGAAGATTCAAAAAGATGCTGTAAATGACTAGTGAGGAAATGGCCTAATCCTTCTTCCTCTTATCACTCCCATTACCTTCCCCAGACATTTTTATCATCTCATCCAGCCCAGCAGAGAACAAGGAAATGAAATGGAAGACTTGCAACTGAGTGGAAGATCCCATGTTTTACATGCAAAGATTCCAGACTTAATTCCTGGCATTTCCACTCTAAACACCTGTAGAACTTCTCCAATCATTGTAGAGTTTAGCCAATACTCAAATTTATGAATCAAGAAGCCAGAATCAGTACAAGGCAGATAGTTGTTATAGTTATAGCTGTTGTTAGAAAGAAATATATATCCTTTCCTCTGAAAAAAATGTTGCTCAAAATAACTTTCAAGAAATTTGTAAAAACTTACTATAATTCACAAGAAACTAAAAGAGCTGCAAAGAGAAAACAGACATAGGAGTTCTTGTTAGTTTTAACAATATCAAAGGGATGGATTTAAATGGTGGATCATTAAAAAGCAAGGGAATTTAACCTCTTGAGGTAGGAAGAGCCAGAGCTATTGCCCTTAAGAAACCCCTCTGATGCTACATCATATATTTGAGAGCTGAGGGATTAAGGCCAAGTCAATACTTCAAGTCATGTGAATATAGTACTGGATAATAAATTTCTACTCCAGTTTGTAATTGCCACATCCAACTTTTTCTCTTACAATTTTCATCAAGTTAATTTTAGTTGAAGGTCCATACTATTAATCCATATTGAAAATTTAAAAACATAATATTAAAATTGCTAAGTTTGACCCAGGTAACCCCCAACGTTGAAAAAAAAAAGGAAAGCAGATATTTGGAAATTTTCAAATGATATCAACAGGCATGAAGGCATTCAAAAACAAGTCCATGAAAACACATCTTATTCAATCCACCCACCGAAAGCAAAATATATCCTTCTTTCTGGGGTTTGTATACAATTTTTGGTTTCATATACGATCTTCAGCCTTACCATTTTGGATGACACTTAGGAGGGTGACAATCACCAGAAGAACAATGTATCCAACCATGTCTTGGTCCATGCTGACAGCTTGTCTTGTGAAGATTTTCTGTGTAGTTCTGTTTGGCAACTCAGCCACACAAAGAGGAAGTTATTACCTCCCTTATCTTGCATAATGGAAATTTTTTATGGCTTCACAGTCTGCAATTTGATAGTGTGTAATATATTCAGTTCAACTTTTCATTTATGAATATGATAAATTGGTCAGCTGCAGGCTAAAAGAACTCTCACTCTATTTGACTTTTTTCATCTGACAATCCATTGTTACCACTCTTAAGGATATACTAATTATAGTACATCCTGACGTGTACAATTGAAATAAATTTGAATCGATCTTGCTGTGCTCAAAACCTATCATTCTTTATAGCTTTTTTTTTCTAATTTGTCCATTTCAGTTTATCTCTGATTGGTATATAGTAACTAACTTTCCACAATATGTGCAATTGTCTGTAATATGGTTTATGTACACTGGTTTAATATTTTTGTTAAATAGGAATAATTTTATACTTTGTTTGGATTTGTGCAAGATTTTACTAATATGGTATGCATTATTACTGCTTGAATGATAAAGTGCTTAGAAAGATTCAGAGGTGCAGAAAAGGTAACTCAAGTTTTCTTTGTGTGATGGTTCAAAAAGGCAAAAGTTTGCATTATAGCAAAATCCCATCTCTCACGTCAATGGAATTTCAGGAGTAAAGGATTGCAGCTAACATAGCAGCTAACATAGTTTGGCTGCAGGGTATTATCTTTTTATGTCATCTGTGAAAACATGTTAATGTAAATTGAAGCATTAGATACATTAATTTTCCAAAGCAGCAAATCACAAATAGGTATCTGCAATTTTAATCTATTTAGTGTATGTATGTGTGTGTGTGTGTATATGTGTGTGTATATATATATATATATATATATATATTTGTTTTCTGAGGTTTTCGCGGGTGTTTGTATGTAGGTCTTTGGTTGTTCGGGTTTTCTCCCACGTAAAATTGGAAATGTCTTGGCGACGTTTCGATGAAGTCCCATTCGTCATCTTCAGGCTGGTGTTTTCAGCTTCATGCTTCGTGCTTTGCTGCCCGAAGCACGAAGCTGAAAACACCAGCCTGAAGATGACGAATGGGACTTCGTCGAAACATCGCCAAGACACTTCCAATTTTACGCGGGAGAAAACCCGAACAACCAAAGACCTACATACAAATACCCGCGAAAACCTCAATTCAGAACAGTAGTAATGCAGTGTTCCCAATTCAGAATTCATGTATACTGTAATCACTTACATTTTAAAATACCAGGGTATTTCTACTTGAAAACTATGTACAATTTCAAAAATGTATATGGATTGCTGAGATTCTTTGCTTTCAAATGTATTTGAAAGTTGAACTTATTATTTCTGGTTTAGCAGCAACCAGATAAAGACTTCACTTGAAATGCTGTAGTTCTTTAGAAACTGTGGTTAGTCCTTTGGCAGAAAGACATCCCACAGTCTGTTTTTCTGATCCTAAATTTAGCAGGCTTTGTTGGAGAAAGAGGGTTTAACACTTTTCCGTTTCCCCTCGTAAAACTGTGTAGATCTGTCTCTGTCTGTCTATCTACATATAATCTAATCGTTTACTCAATTTACCTACCTAGTTTACCTGTCAAGTGACTCAATCTCAAAGTTGCTGCGTTTCCTGAGTTTTGTCCTCACCACTGTCAGCTTGAACGCACATTTCCCAAAGGTGGAGATGCCAATTAGGGGAAGAGAAGTCTAATTCCCAGGAAGAGTGGCTGGCAGTTGTCAAGTTTGCAGCAGCCTCATTCCAATCTGGAAAAATCTGGATTATTTGCTGGATGACAGCAAATCTATACAGAATTTTAACAGCCCGGATTGAAAGGCCGTAATTATTTTGAAATTGTAATCACAAAGGAGGCCTTAGAAATCTCGGACTTCTTAGTGTTCTCAGCCAATTCTCTTTGTTCGCTACTTTAAAGGCTTTCATGCAGGGAATGCACCAACCTTCCTTTAGTTGTTCAGGAAAAAATATACTTACATTGCGATCCTAATGTATTGATTTTGGAAATTGATTGCTCAATTGTTTTGAGGAAATGCGAGGACATTCTAGAGGACTGAAAGTATTAGTATGTCTGCGGCAACCGCCAATAATCAGCAAGTCTCTGTGGCGCAATCGGTTAGCGCGTTCGGCTGTTAACCGAAAGGTTGGTGGTTCGAGCCCACCCAGGGACGCGTTTCTTTTAACTGCTTTGAGTCTGCTTTTTGCACGTGGTTGGGAGAGAAGCTTCTGTGCTCCTTAGAGGACTATATCCTGGTCTTTGATTTCTACTGCGTTGTTGAAGGCAGGGCGGAATGAAAATTCCCTTGTTTTGCTCCAATAAAAGTACTCAACAGAACAACAATTAGGCAAAATATAATCGAAGATTTGGTTAGTCGGATGGGTGGATAGCTGGAGCTCCTCTGTGTTGTATTTGCGAAAATAAATAGGATAGTTTTAAAAATGTAAAAAAAATACTGAAAAAATAAATCAATAAATTGTTTTCATTATATTTTCTAAATACTATTTCAAGAAAAGCTTACAACAGCAGAGTTTCCGTAGTGTAGTGGTTATCACGTTCGCCTAACACGCGAAAGGTCCCCGGTTCGAAACCGGGCGGAAACATTTTTTTGTCATTTCGAAATCTTACATTACAGGAAATGTGTATAATTAGAAGCCAAACAGACTCGTGCGCCTTCCTTGCAAATGAAATCCTTCATTTCTTAATAAAAGGATCAACAGAGATTTGTGTCTCTATGCCTGCGTTTCTCCACAAGGCTTGCACAGTGAAAGACTTTTACTGAAATAGATACTTAGTAAATTTTGAAAACAGTGCTTCTCTAACTGGAGAGCAAATCCCATCATCCTACTACACCCACGTAAGCCAAACTAGGTGATGCTGAACTAAAGAGCAGCTGATCATGTTTTTATTATTTATTTTAATCCTAGGCAGATGAACATCAACACTTCACATTTAGGAGATCACTGTAGATTTTAGAAAGAGCCGGCATAGTCATACTCCACTCAGTATCAAGGCTGCAGCTGTAGAGGTGGTCAACAGTATTAAGAATCTGGGGGTGCAGATAACTAACTATCTGAACTGGTCTCTCCACACGTGATCCTTAGTGAAGGGTGCAAATAAGCGTCTGCATTTCCTGAGGCGAGCACATCTCTCTCCTTCTGTCCTGACCGCTTTTTACAGAGGCAGGATTGAGAGCATTTTAGCAAACTGCATCGCTGTCTGGTTTGGTGGCAGCAGAGCCTCAGATAGAAAGTCCATACAGAGAATGGTAAGGACAGCCAAGAAGATCATAGGAAGCTCACTCCCTGGTGTTCGGGATGCTGCTTATAAGCACTATGTGCTTAGACCTCAAAGCATTGTTAAAGACCCCCCCCCCTACATACACACTCTATGGTCTGTTTCTGTTGTTCCCCTCTGGGAGGAGGTTTCGAAATATTTCTAGCAGGACTACCCAATTTTGTAATAGCTTTGTTCCCTATGCCATCCATCTGGTAAACTCGCAAGCGTTTTTCTCACCATGCACATATACATAACCTGAACTAGACTGTTGTTTCTCTGTGTCATATACATGGGTATATGCATAATTCTGTATTTGTTTATTTTTGTCATATTTATGTAGTGTATAATGGATGGATGTAACGAAACTTCATTTTAATGTATGCCAATTAGTGTACATTCAAAGTGACAAAAAGTTATTCTATTCTATAATAATAATAATAGTAGTAGTAATAAAGTTGGAAGGGATCTTGGAAGTCATCTAGTCCAACCCATTGCTCAGGCAGGAAACCCTATGCCATTTTGGACAAATGGCTGTCCAGTCTCTTCTTAAAAATTTCCAGTGTTGGAGCATTCACTGCTTCTGGAGGCAGGTTGTTCCACTGGTTAATTGTTCTAACTGTCAGGAAGTTTCTCCTTGGTTCTAGGTTGCTTCTCTCCTTGATTAGTTTCCATCCGTTGCTTCTTGTCCTGCCTTCTACTCTATTCTTGCCAAATTAACAGTACCAATGCTTCATATTTTGGTTGCTAAAATTATATCCTGTATTGATTATTCTCTTGTTCTTTTTTTATATTCCTCAATAAGTTGTGAACTCCCATTTTGTTTAAATAAATCTGAGATTGCTAAAATGCTGTTAGTGGCACTACTTCCACTCATCACTTAAGCATGCTGAATTATTATTACCATCATACCCTATGACCCATGTAGGACTCCTCAAATTAAAGTCTGTTTAAATCAGCGGTTCTCAACCTGTGGGTCGCGACCCCATTTGGGGTCGAACAACCATTTCACGGGGGTCGCCAAACGCGATCCGCCATTTTTTCCTCAGCTGGCAGCACCGCGCATGTGCGCCACGCATGGGGGGCACTGCCGCGCATGCATGGCACGCTTGGGGCGCCGCCGCGCATGGGGCACCGCCGCACATGCGGCACCGCCGCACATGCGCGCCGCACCGCGCATGCGCGGTGCATCCTTATGACCGGGGTCGCCGGTATAAAAAGATTGAGAACCACTGGTTTAAATTCTCCTGGATATTTCCCCAACCAATTCTCATTCAAGTTGGTGAAAATCAAGTTGCTTTGGAAATCACACTTTAGAAGTGAAGTCAGAGTCAACCTGACTGGCATGGGCATAAATAGGATTATTTCATTGTATGATAATTTCTTCAATCTTCCTTCCCTCTCACGCTTCAGCTACAGTCCTCTCATATGATTTTTCAAGGTCCCAAAATCTACCAAGATTAAAGGGGGGGGGGAAATCTGAAAAATAGTGTGCTAAGTTTGGAGAACAGGGTGGGGAAACTCATGGCTATCTTCAGTATCTGAAAGGCTATAAAAATATATATAATAAAAAAAAATAAAGCAATTATGTTCCCCCTTGATATAGATTTTATGACTTTTTGTGAACATTAGAGAATCATTATTTTAACTTAGAAACATTTCAGGGTTATTTGATATTTGACAAATATCAGGTATGGTCTTCCCTTGTTAGGATTGTTATTGCTTTCTTTTGTTACCCTTTCTCTTATTTGCTGTATTCCTTTTTGTAAAGCTTAAGTAAATTCAATTCTAAAAAAAAAACAAACATGGCGATGGAGCAGAATTGTTCAGTTGTTCCAGAAGACAGGGCAAGAAATAGTGGTGTAAATTGTAAGCAGATTTCAGTTGGCCATCCCCCCCAAAATGTCTTAACTATAAGAACTGATCATGAAAGAATAGAATAAGGAGTCTTGGAAGCTGATGGACTGTCTTTCTCTGGCAATGTTTAAACAGATTGATGGCCATCTGTCATCTGTAGTGGATTCCTGCTTTGATCAGTTAGACCAGTGGTTCTTAACCTGGGCGATATTGCCCCTCGGGGCGATTTTGTTTTTCAGGGGGGCGATGGAATGAAAAGGGGTGACGCGGGGCGAAGGAACGAAGAGGGGGCGATATGGGGGCAATGGAGCGAGAAGTTTTGGGGATACTTTTGAGACTTTTTCGTACAGTGAATCGCTGTATATCTGTCGTACAAAAACATCAAATGACTCGCTATTAGTGGATTGAATTGTGTTTTTCTTTTTGGGCATTTCACTTTCTTGCAATTGAATTTTGTTTTCAGTGGTGATTACATTTAAGTGTCTTGAATAAATAAGATAATAATGAAATACATGTATCACGAAGTTTGGGAATAAAGTGCCGGGCGGCACCAAAATTTTTCACACAGCTGAGATAAGGGAAAAAGATTGGAAATAAACTATTTGCATCGATATGTCCTTATGACAGTTTTAAAGAAAACAAAAAAAAAGTGTTTGCATAAATTGAAGAATTATTTCCTATGTTGTGATTGAGAGGTTATGTTGGGGGGGGGCAATGACAACTTCCTCATTGGCTCAAGGGAGCGATTCGTTCAAAAAGGTTAAGAACTACTGAGTTAGACTACATAATCTTCAAAGTCTCTTGTGACTCTTACATTCTATAACAGTTTATACATAGCCAATTGGTCAAAATAAAAGTATTTGCAACCAGAACTGTTACTTAATGTTACTTAACTGTTACTTCAGCAAGACATTTGACAAAGTAGACCACAACCTACTTCTTGGTAAAGCTAGAAAAATGTGGGCTAGACAACATTACCACCAGATGGATTTGTAACTGGCTGACAAACCGTACTCAATGAGTAATCCTTAATGGTACTACATCTACATGGAGGGAAGTAAGCAGTGGGGTACCACAAGGCTCCGTCTTAGGCCCAGTACTCTTCAATTTCTTCATAAATGACTTAGATGCGGGAATAGAAAGGGGTCTCATCAAATTTGCAAAAAAAAAAAAACAAAACACAAAAAAACCCCAATGCAATTCCTAGGCTGTATTAACAGAAAGATAGAATCAAAATCATGTGAAGTATTAATACTGTTTTATAAGGCCTTGGTAAGACCACACTTGGAATACTGCATCCAGTTTTGGTCACCACAGTATAAAAAAGATGTTGAGACTCTGGAAAGAGTGCAAAGAGTTGCAGGATTTGGGAATGGTCAGTTAGAGAAAAGGATTAGGGGGGACATGATAAAGTATTTGAGAGGCTGCCACAAGGAGGAGAGGGTCAATTTATTTTCCAAAGCACAAGAAGGCAGGACAAAAAGCAATGGATGGAAACTAATCAAGGCAAGAACCAACTGAGAACTAAAGAGAAATTTCCTGACAGTGAGAACAATTAGCCAGTGGAATGGCTTGCCTTCAGAAATTGTGGGATTAAAACTCCTGGTTTATAGTCTACTGCCTTAATCATTAGACCAAACTAAAACACAATTGCCCAAGAGGCCAGTAAAAAAAAATCCAGTAAAATATTTTCACAAGAAAATATTAAAATCAGGTAATAGTACTTTTAAAATATCTAGTTAGACTATAATGAATGTAAGGCAAAGTCTTTATTGGGTAAAGCTTGATTCCTCATAACTAAATTTATTTAGCAACAATATTCCCATCTTTTGGAAAAAATAGATTGGCCAACTGATAAACTTCTAGAGGTGTGTTTGTGTGTCTGTTTATTTACTTCTTTTCAAAAGTACCGTATATGCCGGCGTATTAGGCGACCCGGCGTATAAGACGACCCCCGTCTTTATCGCCGAGCCGCATTTCTAGAACGTCGTCTTATACGCCGGAAATTACCAGTATTTCCGGCGTATAAGACCCCCGTCTTTGGCGCCGAGTTTAGCGCTTCCGGAAGTCGTCTTATACGCCGGCATATATGGTAATCAAATTGCTAGGTGCTGCCACCTCTTGGAACAATGTAAATAATAAAAACTAAAGCATAATTTATATTTCTTACAATTTTCAATATTTACCACCCAAGAAACAAAATTTTAGCTTGAGAAGAAGTAAAAATTGTGTTAACTAAGTGTTGCAAATGACTTAATGTTAGTAAACTGCAAATAAGAGTAGTCTGGCACATATAGAAGTACATAAGTAAGAATGACTATCCTATTGTACACAACCTACTAAGCAATAAGATTTGTAATGAATATGTAATGAAATTTAGCCATTTTTTAAAAAAAATATTTAGTCTGTATTTATCTATATCAGTTGTGTGTGAACTACAGTGAATTGCCATTTTGTATTCCAGGTGATGGGGTAGAATATTTAACACACTAGACCCAAAGAGTTGCAGAAGAAAAGGAAATACGGTTGTAACTTCAAAAGTTGCTTTAATACTTCAAAACCACATTTCAAAGGATTGGGGATTAACAGGTTCACAAATCCCTGGGTTTTAGTAGAAATCTCTCAGAGCTAAATCTTAGCATAATTCATCTGCATTATGGCCTAATGTTTAGCAAAACAGGCAAGACAGATTATATGCTAACATTCACACTGTTATGTAGACCATAATTTTAGATGGGCATTTCATTGGAAAAGAAAATAATAGAAATAAAATGGCTTCTTTAAAATTTTTAGTTTAGCCTGTAAGCCTACTTTTGAAAAGGGAGGTTTATCAGAAATGAAATTACCATACCATGATTATCATGGTATTCTACATTTTTAGAGATGCTTGCAGAGCATTTTTTAGCTCAGCCATAGATAAGAGATCTTAGGTGAATACTTTACTACAATGGCTTTTAAAGTGTCAAAACTTTATCACTGACACTTTATACAAGAATCAGTCTCATCTCTTCCAGTGAATAGTGGGTTTGAGGCAGAAAAGCAAACTCATTTTATTAAGAATAAAAATATAAAAAAAACATTTTAAATATACAGAATCATGTGCAAATTAGGTTGAATTTAAATTATACTCCCCTTTAAAGACAACCAAACGAAAATACTGAAATTGTTAAAACACAATTCACCAAGCTAATAATGATTCATCAAAGTGATGCAAGTCTTCAGTGTTAGCCATTACTGAATTCAATGAACATGGAAACAGATCATCCAGAAGATCCTGCTTTGCAGAACTTTCAAAATCAAGTTTCTTCAGAGGTGATTTGATTGCAGATGGATCTCTATGGTCCTCAAGTCCATTTTCTTTTAGAGGACTGACGTAACTAAAGTCGCTTTTTATGGCCTGTATACTGGTATTTTGATCAATAGATATCGGCATGTCTGAACTGCCATCTCCCATTTCCAGGTACCTACATTCTTCTTCTGTAGCTGGAGACAATAGCAGTTCGGATAAAATGTCATCATAATTTGAACTGCTGCACTGAGACATGTCAGTACTTGGAGAATTAACAGATTTACTGTCCGAAACATCAGTCTGCATTTCTTGGGTATATAACAAACTTGTCTGCAAAAGGTCCATCTGGTTTTTTGTCTGATCTTTGATAGTTTTCTTGGAAGAGTTTTTGTGTCTTTTCTTAGCATTTATCAGTTTATCTAGTGAAGCTAATTTCTCTTTTTTAGCTTGAAGCTGCTGTAAAAGTGTTAAGCGTAGTTGATGAGTTTTATCAATAATTGACCCAGTATTTTCAACAGATATAAGATTCTCATTTCCATGGTGGTTGTTTTTCAGCAAATCTTGGTTAGTGAAAGCATCTAATGAAGCTGATCTTTTAGTTACAGCTTCACCATTGCTATCAGGCACAAGATTTTTGACAGGGGTGTTTGCAACAGAAAAAGCAATCAGAGGTGATGTTGGCTGAGTTCTATTTGAAGAATTCAACGTTGCCACTTTACTTTTCTGTGAAGATTTAGTTTGGAATCCACAGAAATGGCCTGCTTGCCTAACAAGCGAACTGGTGTTTGTTTCTTTTTGCATTGATTTTTTACAGTTTTTTAGTTTATTAGGAACCAACACATTTTTAGGCACAAAGGAAGAATATTTTCCAAGTAAGCCTTTTACCCAACTGGCTTTAAATGGCTTAATTCCATTTGTACTGGATGACTGAAAGGTAGGACTTTGGGAAGATAGAGCAGAAATATGGGAACTTATTTTTATTTCTTGACCGAACTCTACAACGTTAGGCATTCCCGACACAGGGTTTCCCAATTTTGTTTTGCTGGTTTTTTTCTGAGGGTTCTTTGGATGGCAATTGCTGCTCTCTTCTGCTGGAACTAAGGAGACTTGTGATAATAGTATTTCGGATGAGAAATTTATTTTACCATTACTTAAAGCAACTGATGGTGTAGTAACTAAATTGCTTGCATCAGATGGCTGTCCTTCATGCATCGGAGCACTGGTATTCCCTAAAACTACACTTCTTTTTTGAATATCCCTTTCAGGAGTAAGTGGGCATACATCTTTCTCATCCAACTCTTGCAACTGCAATGGACCCATTCTGATTATCTGCTTATTTTTACCTTCTAACAGCTGTCCACCCAAGTCAAGTGTTACAACATCATCATCAGACAGGTTGCCCAAGCCATGAAGCAAATTATTTTTCTGATTGCTTAGTAAGTTTTCTATTTCTTCTATATGTGTGTTCACCATGTGAACTGCTTTGTGATAAGTTAAAGGTACGCTGTCTGCAGTTTCATCATTAGAGTATTTAACTGGAGTTTTTGATTGTGCTTTCATTGTTTCTTCAACTTGTAAATCTGGATAATTGGTGATTTGTGGTGGTTTTCTTTCCCAAATGACAATATGTATTTCTGCAGAAGGAACCCCAAAGGTATGATGTCTTCTGGAGAATGAACCTTTTAAGTCATCACACTCAAGCCATATTCCTAAAAAATAAAATATGAATAATTCAGAATATTAGGGTACATTTCTTATTATACATTTCAGAAAAACTAACATTTAGTACTCACTGAATATATGTATATTCAACTATAATTTATGCATGGTTTGTTGAAAACAGATAGTTTTGAATTATGTGTACTAAATATATCTGACTTGTTTTTTCATTCTTCCTCTATACCTATTGCCTTGCAGCTCTAAGAATTCGATAGAGAACTACGAATAGCCACTAACCATGTTTCCATGATTTAATTGAAAATCAGTTAGCCAACCATAATATCCCCCAAGATTTCAAAATATTTTTTACTGGATTCTCACAATTTTATGCCCATGTGACGTATTCATTAACATTGCATTATACTTCATGCAACATATGCATCTTGTATAAATCAGCATTATTAATATGTCTACAAAAGTTTGAGTCACTTTCAAATGTTTCCCCCCCTGCCCAAATATCTATGTAAGTTACAAATATTGCATAGAGAGTCTCAAAAGAAAAACATAATTATTTGATATTTTGCAAGGACATCTCTGCTTGACTGCCTGGAGGCTTGTGTGCTCACCAAGGGAGATCAAAAAAATTGTTGCTTATAATTTATTTAAAATCTCCTGTAGGTCTCCATTTATCAGTAATTCACACAAATATTTGTGCCTTTAACTTTCTTTATTACTTTTTATTTTCTTCAAGCAGGGTGAGCTTTCTGCTTCTTTGAAATAGGTAGCTAATTTTGTGAATGCAAAAAATCAGAAAAAGCAAGCTAAAATCTAATTAGATTTGGCTTGCTCTGAAGATTTATTCCAAAGTGTGTGTGGTGGGAGGGACTAGCAGAAGGGACTTCTAAAATGAAAAAAACATGATGTTTTTGGGCTAATTCACCCCCCCTTTTATCACCCCTGATTTCTTCCCCCCAGATCTTTATGCTCCTAAAACGTCTTTTATATTTCTGTAACCCCTGTTCTCCTCCAAACGAGGCTTAAATACTATTGTATTATTATTTATACTGGGATGTTGGTATTACTAATCAATACAGATAGATGGATGTTTAAAAAGGATAAAGCTGATACAGAGAATAGTGTACTTACCATCTGAAGTCAAGATCCAAGTTATGAAGTGTTGTGCCTTCTGATACTGAATCACAGCTGTTACTTGATATGAATATTCTTGAAACTGAAATGAGTAGGCCATCAAATTGTTATGCGGCAAGCCTTCAACAAAATGCATCATCAGAACTGAGGAGATCCTACCAAATAAACATAACAATTTGTGATTTTTAGAAGTAAAAAAAATTCCTGAGACTAGTGTTAATTATCTCACCAAAACTGAAAACATGCAGTGGGATTAAAAGCTAAATATCAGTAACCTATCTATGAGTTTTCACACAGACCTCAAGGAATGCAAAACATTTGGCAATTGCATCCCAAGTGAGATTATATAAATAAATACAATTTATATAATCTCATTTGGGATGTTATTGTAACTCAAATTGTTAAAGAGCAGATCCTTAAGAAGATATATTTCCTGATTTCTTCGAATTTATAGAATGTCATTCAAGAACTGAATTCACACATTATGTTAAGCCACATCAGTTAACCATGATTTATTGAATAAACTACAGTTAGAGTAATATAGCATGCTCTGTAAAAAATATGTTATGGCTTGTTGATTTTATAGTTGGGAGCATTAGTGTTTGTATTCACCCATCAAACCAAGCCAGATCTTAAGAATTTACATTAGCTGTTGCTTATTATTGCTTATCAACTGCTGATGTAGGTTTATCTCATTTGAGGATTATAATAAAATGCTCACTTACTTTTCTAAAACCATTTTTCTTCTTTGAGATGTGTGATTGCACTTATTACAGGGAGCAACATGAACAGCATTCAATGGGTGCCACTCTGGGATTATATTTGTAAACGTTGTCATTGTCCGCTGACAACTAAAAATAAAATGAATATATGTTCAAATGAAACAAGTTTAATAATTTCTTCTTATACTTACAGGATGTCACCATCTGGGACAATTTATATTTAAAGAATGGTGCACATTTACTTCACTTAAATTATGAGACGCTATTCAATATTAGAAAAGTTATATCTTCTGGAAATTTTAAACTCTGGAGGGATAATTTGAGATTGAACTCAATAAATCCGCCTGGAAATTTTTGAAGATAAAGCCATTTTACTTCTATTTCAAAATGCATAACAATTTAACCATCAAGATACTACTATATAAATCTCATATTAATTATGACTACTTTAGATTTTAGACGGGTTATAAATCAAATAAATTACATCTTTGAAAATTTAAGTTTTTAATAGATGCCTTCATCCAAATGTGTTTTTCTGCATCAAAACATTGAATATGAGTGCTTAAGATGTTTGATTTTTCTTGGAAATTACTATATTTTTATGTATACATAGTCTCAACTTATTTGTCCTATTTTTGTTTTTCCACCTACTTTATACTTATTTTTTTCCTTCATCCTTGAGGTTTTGCTTTAGTTTAAAGAACAGAATAAATACAAATCTAGCAGAGCTAAATATGAATGCTAATTTGGGATAGTAAGAATTGATTTGACCATCACAAATAAAATGATTGAACTAAGATGTAAATTTAGGCTAATATCGAAGGGAAGTTTAGGATGAAGCTACCACCTGTAATTGGCTTCCTATTTTATGCTGCAAGAAAACATATATTAAGACAATTTTAAAGAATTATAATGTTTATATCTCAATGTATACAATTGCAACAGTCAGGATAAATCCTGAATGTCAAGAATAAAAACCCAACCACTCTCAAATATTTCAGTAGAGGGTTATGCTGTTTCAGATCTGTGACTCAAGATGCCCAGTAGGCAAATCACATGCTCACAACTGCCCTCTCCTGCCTGTATAATGTATTATTTGCAAAATACTGATTGAAATGCATGGTTATACCAAGGAGGAAGGAAGCGCAGAATTTTTAAAGAAACTAACCTATTGTTGGTGTGGTAGCCACACTGCAAACATTCAAACTTCCAGGAGAAAGAATGGAGAAAGAGATTCTCTATATGTCGATCCTCCCGCAGAAGTAAAGGAAAAGCAAAAACTGGACTTTCTTCCTCCCCTTTGAAGGAAAACACAAGACAAAAATGTAGTTGTAATACATGTAATGTTGATTATTTCTCAGAAATGAGCTGTGAAGCGTATGATTCTAAATATATTCTATTTCAGTGTTTCTCAACCTTGACAATTTTAAGGCATGTGGACTTCAACTCCCAGAATTCCACAGCCAGCAACGCTGGCTGTGGAATTCTGGGAGTTGAAGTCCACATGCCTTAAAATTGTCAAGGTTGAGAAACACTGCTCTATTTTCTTAAAAATGTATTTTAAGTATTAAGAAATGATAAGAGCCAATTCTTTTCTTAACAAATATTTGCGTTCCAGTTTATATTACTGTAACATGCATAGTATATATTGCTGATAGTTCATATAATGAAAGGATAAGAGATGAAAGGATCAAAGGCATTGATACACCTATAAATATTTAAGATAAATCTCTCTAGTTAGAAAGATCTGCAAGTATACTTCAGACTACAGATTACACATCGTGTTTCCTAGTGTCGAAAATCTAAAATACATTTAATATTTTTCAGAAACGGACACCATAAACTTTAAATTATATAAATAGGGGAGTTCATCACTGGGGGTGGCTATTGGACTAATTAGCTGACTCCACCTCCCCCATGTGCTTCCTGTTCTCCCTCCGCCCATCTTTTTAATTTCGTACAGAATACTGTACTTCCATTATTGTTATTGTTTTATTCCTTTGCTAGTGTCATATTTACATTTTGTTTTTGTTTTGTTTTATTGTTGTAAGTCTGGGAAGAATGAAGTGCCTGAACTCTTAAAGGGCCAAGCTATGTAGCCATGCAGGACCGCAGTATCAGTTCCTATTTACTATTTCAACATTCAAATGGTTTCTCCTCCCTTTCACCAATGCTTAAAACAACTATGCTGCATTGAGTCAAAAAAACAGTCTATTCCTTTCAAGAAGCCCAGAAACATTAGTGCTTTTGCACCTTTCTGTTTAGGTTCCCTAGCAACGGATGTCCAGAGGAACAGTGCTTCTGAAAGTGAAGGTAATATACAGCTATCATGACTAGTACCTTTATTTTCCATAAATCTGTCATAGTCGTCTAATCTAAGATAGCAGTGTGATGATTGGTGGCAAATGCCATAGTTCGTTTACTTTTGTTTTCATTATCCAGGATTTCCTTCCATTTGGCCTTGTAAAAACACAAGATTTGCTTTCAAAAATGTTTCAGAATTAATCACTACCATTTTTACAGAGCCAGGAAAGACTCATCTGAAAATCCCAGAGTACTACTGCTAATGAGTCTGTGGATAAGCAAGAAAAATATATTATTTGTCGCAATATATGGCTGCTTCCTAAAAACTAAATTGAAACTCAAAATTCATTATATTCAAAGGAAGTATTCTACTAAATATTCATATATTATACAATAGTTACTGAAATACTAGCTCATGTCTTCATGCTGAGTTTGAGAGTTTTCCAGAACGAAATGGTTGAACCCCATGAAAAAGCTGGCCGTATGGACTAATTTAGGATTATTCTGTTTAAGACTAGATAAGTAATGCATGGCTCAGAAAGTACCAAGAATACAAACACTATGCCATAGAAATTAATGACAAATTTCCAGCTAATGAACAGATCAAACTTAGCATATTAATGTATTGGTATATATTAGTATACATATTAATATATAACTCAGAATGTTTCTTCTGCAGCTCTATCGAAAGAATTAGGAAAAAAGAAAGCATATAAGAAAGCAAACTGCAGTAGTTAAAAATACAGTTCATTGTTTAATCATTGTTCTCCCCACAGCTTGCAAAAATAAACAAAAACCTCACACATACATATTTAGCAATACTTACCAAATTTACACCCAAGCAATGGCTGAAGTTGAACATATACAGTATTCCTGATTTCATTTAAGTGGGATTCAGCTCTTGACAAAACATCCAAAGGAACTTCTGAAGTAAGTTCATCTATACAAAACAGTTTTGCTGATCAATATCCTTTTCCCCCCAAAAAACACCCCATTTCAGCAATCAACTAGGTACAGTTCAGCATTCCATGTATTCATAAGGAAAATAGTTTGCTATTTAATTCAGTTTCTGTAGCCATCAGAAAATATGCTGACTGGAAGCTGCATAAAAACTATTAGTTAATATGCTTGCCAAAGACAAATTTGTATTCTGCTCTTAGGAAATGCTTTTTAAACAGCACTCTGAGGAAACTTAGGATTCTTCAAAAATTGATCAGGTATTCCCCTAGTCACCCAGTAGAAAAACAGAATTATTGATATATTAGCATTCTTGAAAAATGTTTGCAAATACTAATAGTCACTCTCTATGAGGAGGCCAGAGAGAGTTGCTATGTTTGGTCCTCACTCTTGTTCAAAAATACCTGAAACATACCCCAGAATCCATTTTAATGTGCCTGGATTTCCTTATCAAACATTTAGGGGCTCTTTAGCAGATAAATAGATATAGGAAGGATTTCCAAAAGATCAATCTGAAAATTAATTATATACCAGGCATCACATTTGCTACATGGGACTAATTCAAGGTCATGACAACATTCAATGAAAATTATCTTCAATATCAAACTACTATTACATTTGTATTTTATCTGGTCACATCTGGATGCTAATACTGGGTGGTGAAGCGATCAGAAAACATGGAGCTTTAGGAGTAAATGTTTATTTAGGGAGCAGGATAGAGATAATAAGAATGGCATGTGAAAGTGGAAATGAGACCCACAAAGAAAGTAAAGCTTGACAGCTTTTTTAACTGACCAGCTTTCATTAGAGGTGTTTTTTTTTATTATTATTCTAAGGTTTTTAAGAACCCTAACTTTCACTTCCCAGTATTAAAGGCTGCTGTACATGCTAGAAACAAATCTGATTTCAGAGGGAAACAAGGATACCATAAGCCCTACTACAGTAGTGGCGAACCTATGGCACGGGTGCCAGAGGCGGCACTCAGAGCCCTCTCTGTGGGCACGCGCGCCGTCGCCCCAGTGCTAGGCCTTCAGCTGGGTTTTGCTTTAGGCCTGCACCGCCGTGTGCAAAAAAAAAAAAAAAAAAAAAAGGATTCAATCAATCAATTTCAACTTCTCGCGAGAAAAAAAATCTTGCAAAATTGGGATTGAACTTTTTAGTCCCACCCAGTCTGCCGTTACCACCGCAGCCACGCCCAGCCAATGGGCCACGCCCAGCCAAATGGCCACACCCACCCAATGGGCCATGCCCACCTGGCACCCAATGATACATAAGTGGGTTTTGGGTTGCAGTTTGGGCACTCGGTCTTAAAAGGTTCGCCATCACTGCCCTACTACAATGATTGTTACTTTGTATATATACTTTTTACATATACCACAATATGTAAGTAACTTGACTCCAAAATAACACATACTCCCGATAGGGCTTACCCCTTTGGCAAGTGTTCACAACTACAGCAGCTTCGTTATATTTTGTGAGCAGACTCTGGATTACTGATGTGTTTTTGGAGATTCCAGTCAGAATTCTTAATGTTTCCAAATGTACCAGTATTGACAGAATGCAATCTAACCAGCAGAGAGCATGTGCATTTCTCCAGTGAAGCCACAAAGGCTCTCGCAGAGATGGTTTTCTTTGTTGCAAGACCTGTGACACTGATGGAGCCATCTCAGAGGCTGACGACAGCTGGGTCTGCACATTGAGCACTTCTGATGAGTGTTCTTCAGCTCCCGAGCCCATTTTCTGGTTGACGGATTCAGCTTTCTCAGAAAAAGATGGCTGCTTGGCTTGTGAAAAATCAGACTGCCCTGACTGAGTCCTAATTAGATTATTTCCATTGCAGTTGGGAATAAGATCAGATCTGAATGGCTCCTCAGTGTCCATCAAGTCATCAGTCCTAATCAATTTTAAGCACGGTTCAATAGAAGAGGTCAATAGGTTTGTGCCAAGTAACTTTCTTTTCCCACAAGTGCCCTGAGATGCATAACCTTTTGCATCACTGGGAATTATAATAGTGCTTAGTGATGCAGACCCTAGAGGGTAAATGCACTGAAATAAAAACAAAACAAAGACATTACGCTTACATTTAGTCTGGGTAGTTTAATGACATATGATACACATATCAGGAATGAAATGGAAAAACAGACACAGAAATATTAACTACAGTCATCATCCTCAACTTACAACCACAATTCGGACTAGAATTTTCTTTGCTAAGCAAGGCAGTTGCTACGTGAATCACACCTGATCTTATGACCTTTACTGCCGCACTTTTTAAGCAAATTGCTGAAATGGTTAAGTGAGTCCCATGGTCATTAAATGAATCCAGCTTCCCCTATTGATTTGCTTGTCAGAAGCCAGCTGGGAAGGTCACAAATGGCGATCACATGGGGGAATGCAACCATCATAAAGACATGGTTGCCAAGTACCCAAATTTTGATTACACGATCATGGGGATGCTGCAATGGTTGTAAGAGTGAAGGGCGGTCATAAGTCACTTTTTTCAGTGCTGTTGTAGCTTCAAAGAGTTGTTAAATGTAGAGGACTATATGTATAGAAATTAGGCATCCAATTAAAAACTATTGAAATCCCAGTCTATTTTAAACAGTACTGTTATACCATTTTTTTTTAAAAAAAGGATCCCTGATACTGCACAGCAAATCTATAAAAGTATTTTCTCTACATGGAGTGTCTGTTTAAAATTATTTATGGGGGGGGGAATACATTTTTTGAAGGCTATTTTTAAATATTACTTTTTTAAACACCTGTGTGCATAGAAATACAATTCTGTACTGGTTCCTTCCTGTACTCCACATAAATGAAGGATATTTCTAGTTTCCTTGAATCAAGATTAAATAAAAGTTTACTGACTGGAGGTCCAAGGCTCTAGCCACTCTCTTTTTTAGTTTTTTTTCTACTGATTAACCTATTTTCCCTTTCATTGCTGCAATCTTTTTTGTGTCTTTATTCACAACCAGAATGGTACCTGTTACCTCTTTCTCACTGAGCCTGTGTTCCAGCCTACTCTGATAAGTAAAAGATGAGAATGGGTTTAATATCAGAAGAGCTAATACTTCTTTCTTTTCAGGTTCTTACTTCTTCTTCTTGCAATTTATTTTTTGTACTAAGACGCCTCTATAATTCAAAAAAAGCTCCATAAAGGATTCTTCTTTCTCTAGTAAACTTTTTTAATCTATAAAACATTAGGATGTAAGTACTAAATGGCAGGATTCATATTCACAAATATATCTGAGGCAAGTAGGGACTAAAGCAGCCACTTAATATCCATAAATGAAGAGATGTTTCAACTATGTGAGGAGCATAAGTCTGGGTAGGGAGGGAAGCTGGGGATTCCTTTACTTAAGGCAGGGGTAGTCAACCTTGGCTCTTTTATGACTCGTGGACTTCAACTCCCAGAATTCTTGAGCCAGCATGGCTTAGCTTGGAAACCTCTCCCTTTCCCCTTAGCATGGCTGGCTCAAGAATTCTGGGAGTTGAAGTCCACAAGTCATAAAAGAGCCAAAGTTGCCTACCCCTGACTTAAGGAAAAGGGCCATCCTTTTTGCATTATGAGTGATCTAGGAAAATTAAGTTCAACATAAGCACATTAAATTTACCTTAGGCTTTAAATATACATTTTCGTTTTTATTTTATACAGCATCTGTGTAAATTGGGGAAAGTGATTCTGGGACTCACAAAATGGGTTGGAAAACTGCACAAATTCAGATTTACCAATGCTGATTAATATAAAAACATGACTAGAAATTAGCTACACCATTTTACATTTAAAAATCAATAGGGACATTATAACTTTAGGTATCCTAAGCAGACTGCTCTATAAATTATCTATGAAGTCTAAGAATGCTACAGATAATGGAAGTGTAATATGCTTTCTTATCAGTTTCCTTTCATATTGTACATCATATAACTCACTATATGTAGATTTTCTTGAAAACCATTTTGCTGAAAGATATCATGCTTGACCTTAATAAAACTTAGATAGTTGATATTATTTTCTGTGTCAGAGAACTACTCAGTAATGAAGTAGAACAATAATTATCTGGTATATTACAAAAGCTGTCCAGATTAAGGAGGACAGAATAAAGAAATGTTGAACAAACTTTAAATCAATAACCTCACAAACTACTGAAATACCTGTGGATTTTCACACAGAAACATAGATTCTTCAAAATTGATGTGGTATTTTCTTATACGTCGCATCAAACCAATCTTTTTACAGGCTGGGCAGTATCCATCTGGAGTTACTTCAGCAGAATTAAGATTCTAAACAGATTAATATCAGACAACAAATGTATTAAGCTGAAAGATAAAAAAAACTGCTAAATAATTTTTATAATATGCAAAGCTAAATTTGACATCAAGAAAATAACACCAAAACAAATAAATATTAGAACAAGTTATATCATTGATAATTTGACTTTTATAGAATGTTCACTTTTATTTATATAGAGTACAACATATCACTATAATTCTGAACTCCATGTATATTTCATGAACTAGAACAAATATTTTCATATACACATTTGTACTAAGTAAGATCTCAAAACAGTAAATCTTTCGCCATTTCAGTAAGATTTCCGTGGAAAAAATAATTTTATAAGAAATTAAAAGGTCATATATTAAAATTAGACCTGTAAATCTTTTTTTAAAAAAAAAAATCTCAAAATTGAGAAAGAATAAGAAGGAACTTTGCGCAATGTGAAAAAGAACTGAACTGACTTTTCCCAAATACCCCACCATGTGGAGTGCAGATGTCCCTATATCAGTCACTTGCAAACCATTTCCAATCTTCTGGCAATCCATCATTCTGAGGCACTGGCAAAATTACCATGTCACTTGTAACATTTTCAAGTCTTAAGGAATTTTTTTCCATATATCCTGAAAAATAAAAAGTGGACAGAAAAAAGTTACATAAGCATTGTTCTCAAAGCAATTCTTAGAAAGCATAGCCTAGAAGAAATGTATGGGATTGGGATAAAAAGGACAGTGCTTAATTACGGTACATCAAAATAAATAACAAAGAACAGGGTAAGAGAATGTGATATACATTACAATGGAGATATGATGCCACCTAACTAAACTTAGAAATGTACATCTCTTACAAAACAGGTGAATTAATCACCTCAGTGCTCTTTAAAATTTTGCTGCATTTGGTCTGTGTAACAAGAGAGAATAAAACGTTTCAATCACTATCTATGCTCTTTATCAGATCCAAATGCATGATAGATTATGACTTCATTTTGTCCTAATGCAATGCCACTAGGTTTAGGCAGAAAGAACTACCTACATTGTATGCTAGACTTCATGTGGCCCAATAGCCCTGCCTCTCTAACTCACAGGCATTTAGGTAATACCTCCGTTCCTCTCTTAAGACCTATTACTCCTATAATCAATCCTGTTTCCAAGAACCCCAGCAAGATACAAGAGGCCAGTGGTCTACTCCAGCTAAATACAAGCAGGCAGAGTACTATGATATTTCAGAAAAAGATCCCTGATGATCAAGAAGGGTCTGGGGAGAATCAGCTGTCCTGCACTTCCAACCAATTAGGGAAGGAGGAAATAGCATAAATCTTTCTGTGTAAAGCAGAGAACATGAGGCAGGAAATCACAGGAAGAAGTGGCCTCACTCAGGTTGTTCAGAGCAGAGCGCTTGTCTCATCTAGAAGGAGAGTGATGGTTCCCTGTTTTTACATCAAAAGGCTGAGTTTTGGTCAACATATGAAATGTTCATGCCTTAAGACTTGTTACAATCAAGTGACAGCTGGTCCTGATCCAGTTCTAGCTGCTCATCCCAGGAATATGTGATATAATTATGTATGATGACAGACAATACTACCTACTTTTTAGGACTACACTTAGGAAGCTTTGTGGACACATCTTTAGCTTCATATCCTTTTCTTGTTAGCTTTAATGAATGTTACTTAGGGTGTAGCATTACAACAGTTCCAATATAATTATCATGATTTAAACATCTGGTTAAAAGGTAACTTTAAGAAGAATTATATAATGCAGTACAAGTACAAGAAACGTGAAAGGGAGAGGGACACAAATAATCAAAAGGAGGCTGTAGAATAATGCAGGACTATAAAATAATCAAGAGAACAGCAAATGTATCTCAAAAATTAAACATAAGAGGAGCTAGGAACCTAAGAAAATGCATTCATATCAAGAGGTAGTATTTTCCTCGGTCCTGTAAAACTGAGAGAACTACTTAAAATATCTAAATTAATTTGGAAGCTTTGGAGCTCATTATTTTATTATTACTACCAAAACACTATTCTGTAAGTGTTTTTCTTGTGAGAAATGTTTACTTTGGTAAAATGCACTAACTGCATGCAAAACTATCATATACTGCAATTAATGCCACTTTAATTAAGAGTGCCTATATGCCACTGCCACATTTGTTTTATTCAACAATTTTGAATACAATTTATACTTAGGTTGAACATATAAACATGAAAGAATGTACATAGAATGCTTAACCAGCTTTATCTATTACCCATTTCACATATAAATTATGTCTTTAAGAAACAAATATGAACTGGAATTTACTAAGAACTACTCAGTTCAGATAGTCTAGAGCAGGGGTATCAAACTGGCAGGTTGTGAACCGGATGCGTCATGCACAGGCCATGCCCACCCCAGCTCTGCAAAGGCAAAAGACATTGTGATATGTCACGATACGTCACGTGACACAATCGAGTTTGACACCCATGGTCTAGAGATAATTAATAGGCTTCCTTCACCTATTTTGGACTCTATTCCAATAAACATAAGTCAATGACAAACCACTGCTGAAGTTCTACAACAAAATATCTAATAGGCTATCCCTGAAATAGCATGCTTTCTTTCAGGAGTTCAAAATGGCATACATAGCATTCCCTCCTCTAATATTTCCTCAAAACAGCTTGGCTTTATCATATGAGTTTCCATGGTTGAGGGTGAACTAGCGCCTGTGTTAATATGGCGATACACAAGCACATGCACACATAGTTTTTTTCTTATTTTTATTTCTAAGGAAGTCTTACAGATTTTCAATAGATTACTTAAAAAGAAAACATTAAACTTAAAAATAATTATAAAGGAGAAAAATTCATATACATATGAAGGTACATTGGGCTTATCCAAATTAGCTTCCAAATTCTGTGCACAATTTCAGTATTACACTTGCTATCTGAAATGTTCTACTCAGTTTTGTATAATAATGTACTTTACCACTACATAAAATAAAGCATTTATACAAATGAGTATCATGAGAACATATACATGGCAGAAAACAGCAAATGTTTGCCTGTCTCTGACAAAGAATCACAACTGTACTATTAATCCTATTTGATGCTAAACAAATATGAAAGTATTATGGATTAATGAATATGGCTACACAGTGCTATAAATTTTCATAAAGTACAATTATTCCGTACATACATTGATAGAAAACATACTGAAGGTATTATATTTCCTTGAAAGTTTTCTGAAAGGAAATATAGTCCATAAACACATAAATAGCACTTACAGGTATTCCTCGACTTATAGCCATTTGCTTAGTGACCAAAGTTACAATGGTACTGGAAAAAGTGACTTATAATCATTTTTTACACTTACGACTGTTGCAGCATCTGCATGGTCACATGATCAAAATTTGGATGCTTAGCAACCGGTTCATATTTATGAACTGCAGTGTCCCAGGGTCATGTGATCCCCTTTTGTGAACTTCTGACAAGCAAAGTCAATGAGGAAGCTGAATTCATTTAATAATCATGTTACTCACTTAGCAACTACTGTGATTAACTTAACAATTGTTGCAAGAAAGATCGCAAAATGGGCAAAACTTAACTATCTTGCTTAGCAACAGAAATTTTGGGCTCAATTGTGGTTTAAGTTGAGGACTACCTGCATATTGAATAAATTAGCATCCAAAGAATTCCATTTCACACCATTAAAATCATATAGAACAAAACATTATTTGTACCTGTTTCCAGCTTCCTTTGGGCTACAGCATTTACCACAATCACTTAAAAGCATCTAAACCATCACTGAAGCAATATAATTTCTGTCCTCATTACTGTTATATTAGCACAATAATGGAGAAACATGCAGTAAATACACAGCAGTGAAACTGCTTTTAGAAAATGTTTTATACCCATAGTAAAGTGTTCCAAACTAAATGATATAATATTGAATTAAAATAAGTACTAATATCATGATTGGTTATAGTAAAAACAGTGCATACCAGTCATATGTTAAAAACAAAGCAAGGGGGAAGGGTATTCTTCAACATGTCTATGCGCCCTGTAATGGAGATCTGCATTCTGCGCTACAAGTAGTTGCTTAAAAATTACAAATAATTTAACCAGGATATAGTCTCAAAGGTGCTTTTTCAAAAGAGAACTGGATTTTATTTTTCCTTTTAAGATACTTTGCTTCTCATCCAAGGAACTTCATCAGATCTGACTGGATGGTGGTGGGGGAATGGAAGGATTAATTCTGATAGCAGCTATCAGAACTAATCCTTCCATTCCCCCACCACCATCCAGTCAGATATGATGAAGTTCCTTGGATGAGAAGTGAAAGGTCTTCAAGGAAAAACAAAGAAAGCCCAGCTGCTTTTTGAAAAAGTACCTTTGAGACAACCATAACCTGGATGAGTGAGAATCTCCATAGACATTTAACCAAGATAGTGTTGCTGTTTAAAAATATACTGCATATCAATGGTGGAATTCTGTCTCATGTATAAGCCACCTGTGCAGAAGTCAATCCTATGGAGTTCAACTGAGTTTACTTTCGGGGAATTCCAGGATCTCCCTTAAGATTTACGCCCTCTAGCAAATCCAACACCTGGTTTCCATAAGAAAAAAGACAGGTGAATTTTCACCCATTTGATGAAGACAGGTGCACGGAATTACAACTCCCGAGACCCATATATCTTAGAAACGTCTGGAAGTTGCAGTCGGACAGACGTGAAGGGCATTATCTTGAACACAGAGCTTCGTGAAAACTCCCTTCCCCGTCCCAGCTGCGTATGCCCAAAGTTACCTGCATACACGATAGTGCAGGAACACAGTGAAACCCGTGTTCAAACACGCACCGAGCCACAGCCTCCCCAAGCACAGATAAGCAGCCCGATTTCTCCGTAGGTAAGGGAAATTACTTACACCACATATAACATGCTGTTATTTGTGGTGACGCCAGACCATGCAGCAACCTGGCGAAAACGGGAGTATGGGCTCTCTCCCCTAAGGAAACCGGTAATCCGGTACAATTAAGGACGCAGCTCACCTTCTTGGTCTCCACGCGTTTAGCCCACGAAAGCCACACCAGGTCAAGCCTCCCTCAAGAAACCACCCGCTGCGCTTCCCTGACGACGTTCGCAGCACGTTCAGGCCGGCTCAGGCCTGGTGCAACTTCCGGCGAGTCCTCTTGAAACCGTCCCCCTCGAAAAAGAGTCCTCGCCCCGAATTGCCCCGCCTCCTCTGCCGAGCATATGCGCGAAGCGGGTGGTGGAGGGAATGAAAGGGGGGGAAAGGCCCGCTGGGAGATACGGGGGTTTGAATTTTCTTTTCCTTGGGAAACGCCCACTGAGGGCGCGAGGAAGTTGCAGTTCGCTAATGCGAAAGTTATTTTGCAGGCTTTTTTAAAAAAAAGATTTTTTTTTCCTCCTAGTTTTGGGGCGTGGGGAATTCAAGACTCCCGATTTAAGCCATGGTTCCAGATCATTCCTCCAGAGGAGGATTTCCCTTACTAAATCTGCTTCTTTGAGGCTATAGTCCTAGATACAATTATTTAAAAATAAATCCTGTTGAGCCTCCGAGGGGATGATCTACACAGGATTGCAAAGTAACTCCCGAGGTATTTTCCTCTACACATTTGCTTGGTGGTTGGGTTTCTTTCATTGCCATTTTATGGTATCAAAATTGGTTCATTCCATATCTTTGATGGGAAGAAACGGAGGTACTCTGCATTCTTAAATGTAATTTTATGTGCTCGGTATTTTATGTATTTTTTTTAAAGAACTGAACAAGTAAACTAAATGAATTTTAAATAACGTGATTTAAAACTGACCTTACTCTCTGAGTGGCTAGGCTTATGCATTTCCTGTGCTTAAGACTTGTGCAGGAATTCATTAAAAAGTCGGATGTTCAGTTAAAGGGCTATTTGGCGAAACAGAGTTTGGGGATCTTAAATATGTTAGATCTAGATTCTAGTCATTCATTCTTAAGAACAGTAAACTCTTAAAATTAGTTGTTTGGGGAAACGGGCGTGCGGTGCAGAAGGCTAATAGCATGTATATTCACTCGCCTTTTCTCCTGCAACTGGGAGTCTTTGTCCTCCATGAATTTCTCTGAACTTTGTTTAAAGTTGTTTGCCCATGCCTCATTTAAACACAAAATTTCATATTTTAATTAAGATCTCCATGAAACATTTCCTGTTTTCTTTGCTGAATCTTCCACATTCAGCTTCACTAAATCATCTTTGACTTTGTTACTTAGTTTTACAATATAGCTCTGACTGAAGAAAATGATCCAGATGCTTTTTCTGAAATTAAAAAAACAAACTGAAAAAGAGTTACATTCTACAACTTGACAGCTGCACAGAGAAGGCTTTCCTTTATGTGAACAAGAAATGGACCTTGAAAGTGAAGGCATTTTCAAGAGGGCATCTCCTGCTACTGTTAATGTGCAGACAGCTTTGTATCAAGATAGACTGTTGATCAAGTTTACAGTGTCTAGCTATTAGGGCTTTCAACTTTAAAATTTGGATTGTGAAGAGAAAATATTTATAGGATTGTGTACACTTTTTTATTGAAAAGTTTTATAAAAGTTACAATATACACCCCAAAACCCACCCACCCTAACCCCCCCTCTCCCTCCCCCACTTCCCAGAGCTGAGTACAGGGTAACAAATATAATAATCATACTCTAACTAACATTAACCAACTATGTAAATAACCAAGTCCATAATGCTCTTTAACTCCCCTTTAACATAAAAATAAACAAATTAAAAATAAACATAATATAAACAAGTTAATATCCTAATTCTTGAACAATACAGTATCCAAATTGTTAAACAATATTAATACTAAAAATAATAATAAAACTAATAAAAATTCCACTATAGTAAACTATTAATAATAATAATACTCTAAAATTTACTCATAAAGTAGTTGGAACTTTTTAGTCCCATATTTATTCTGAATATAATCTATCCATCTTCTCCAAACCAAAATGTATCTTTCTTGTGAATGATCCTTCAAATAAACAGAAATCTTAGCCATTTCTGCTAAATTTGAGACTTTAAGCGTCCGTTCTTCTATAGTAGGCAAATAATCCTTCTTCCAATATTGCCCTACCAATAACCTTGCAGCTGTTATCAAATTCAAGATCAAATTAGTTTCTTTAACATCACAATCTACAATAACACCCAATAAAAATAATTGTGGAGTAAACGTTATCTTTCTCCTAAAAATCTTTTGAATGTTCCACCAAATCTTAATCCAAAAAGCTTTTATATTTCTGCAAGTCCACCAAATATGAAAATAAGTAGCATCCAAACTACCACATCTCCGACAATTGGGCTGTAAATTAGGATACATACAAGACAACTTTTTAGGATCCAGATGCCATCTATAAAACATTTTATAAAAAATTTCTCTTAAATTTTGGGCCTGGGTAAATTTTACATTTCTAACCCAAATTACCTCCCATATATCCAGTGGAATCGGTTCTTGAATAAGGATTGTGTACACTTTTGAGAGCAAGCAACAAAATTTCATTTTTAATGTGTGCCAATGTGCCCACAGTAAAAAATGACAATAAAGGTTATCTATTATCTATCTATCTATCTATCTATCTATCTATCTATCTATCTATCTATCTATCTATCTATCTACCTAATTGTCAAATTGTCACAGGATAGTTGTTCCAGTTGTTCCAGTTTCTTGGACTTGCAACTTCTCCAGTTATATGGTATCCTTTTTGTGCTACTTCTAGCAAACTTGTAGATATATTCTAAGTGTGGATGTATCATAGATTTGTAGAAAAGCATAATATTGACAGATTCAGTTTTAATTCACAATTACCTCCAAGCACTTGTATTGTATCTATTTCACAGCAGGAGCACAAGTGAAGCAACATTTTTTTTATCTATCTGCCATAACTCAAGATCCCTTTCGTGGTCAGTTATTCTTACTTCAGTATGTATGTGAAGTCAGAATTTTACTCTAATATGCTCATTTTATGTTTGTTTATTCTAAACCATGCTTGGCATTTTAATATTTATTCTTTCACTAATTCTTTTTGTTTAATTATTCTTAATAAGCTAATGTTGTCTGCAAACTCAGTCACCTCATTGCTTATTTCTGTATTCCAATTCATGTGTTGTGCTAAGCCAAAATGTAATTTGTTTGGTTTTTAGCATATATTGGGTAACTACAGAGATTATGGTTTATAAACCATGGTTAGTGTCTTAAGAATATCATGTGAATCCCATTAATTGTGATTTATTCAATAAATCATTTATTTAAATTTATTGGCCACCCAACTCCAGTGTTCAAGTGGAATTATATGAGCCATGGCTTTGTGTGTATTTGCATCTGGCCATAATGGTTTGGAAACATTGATCCATTAGGATGTATGAAACCAGCCAATTTGTAGTTTTTTTCAGTAAATAAATGTATAATAAAAGAATTTTGAAAGGTGTGAATTGTAAAAGGACTTATATTTGCCCACAACTTAAATCCATTTGTTTAACAACTGTTCAACCTTGCAATGGTCCTTAAAAGGATGGCTTTTTACAACCAGTCCTTGCGCTTACAATGGTCACAATGTTGCCATGGTCATGTGATCAAAATTTGGATGTTGGAAACTTGACATGTATTTACAACAATTGCATCATCCAGGAATCATGTGACGCCATTCTAATTTTCCCCGGGACTTCTGAAGAGCAAAGTCAATGGAGGAAACCCAATTCATTTAATAATGTCATGATTCACTTAACTACAGTGATTTACTTAACCACTCACTGCAGCAAAATTGGCTATGGCTCACTTAACAACTGCACTTTATAACAGACATTCTGGTCCCAATTGTGGTTGTAAGTTGAGGGCTACCTGTGTGTATACAAAAAATCATACTGATTCTTTGTTAGGAAAATTTCCTTTTTGTGCTTGATGTTTCTATCTTTATTCATCTATTTCAGTAGTAATTCACTAGTTCATCTAGAAAAGACATCAAGAAATCAGTCCGTAATTTAGTGGATTCTGGTCTTCCCGGATTTGCTGACATCTTTTTATTTAGAAGTGCCACAGTTCAGTATAAATATACCGTTATATCCTAGTTGGATTTGTCCAACTAAAATAGGACAGAGTAGTATTTTTGTTATTTGTCTGGAATTGTTTTATTATTACAATTAGTCCTTGACTTACAACCATATTTGGGACCAGAGTTTCCATTGCTATGGTAAGCAAGGCAGTTGTTAAGTGAGTCTTAAGCAATTTTACAACTTTTTGGGCCATGGTTGGTAAATGAATCACTGTAGTTGTTAAATGAATCATGCAGTTGTTAAGTGTATCCGGTTCCCCAATTGGCTTTGCTTGCTGAAGCTGTTGGGAAGGTTTCAAATACAGGTCACATAACCCCAGGATACTGCGCCCATTGTAAATATATGCCAATTGCCAAGTGTTCAGATTTTAATTACATGGCCATGGGGATGCTATGACTATTGTAAGTGTAAGGACCAGTTGTAAGCCATTTTTTTCAGTGCTGTTGTAATTTTAAAGGATTGCTAAATGAATGGTTGTAAGTTGAGGCCTACCTGTATGTAAGGCCCAGTTTGGTATAATATTTAAGGTACCATGCTAGAAACCAGGAGACCATAAGATTTTAAAGCAGGATTAAATTAACAATAACCTAATTATTATAAAATATCAATACAATCCCATATGTGATTATTGACAGCTTATAATAACTTCAGTAGGATTTTTTCTCTACTAGGTGAATGTAAGAATTTTTCTAAAATGGTTTACTTGCTTCTCAGAGGGAAAATTAGAATTAATATAATCGCTGAATATAAACTAATCTATACTGATACAAATTTTGCTGCAACAAAATGCAGTAAACAAATGTAATGTTAATGGTTAATATGTAAACTAGTTTTATTTTAAAGATTCTTATTTCTTTAATATTTGATAACTTTATTATAACAAGCGTCTGGTGAGGTGGACTGTAATCCATGAAGGTTTATGCTGTAATACAAGTATAAGATGTCATAAGACTCTTTACTTGAAAGTAATATCTTGAAATGTCTATGTTTCCATTGGGATATATACAAATAAATTGCTCATTATTGCCTCTTTAGATTTTCATATAGAATGTGAAAGAAAAAAGAAAATTAGAAGTAAAGCCAGATGAATATGAGGTACGAAAAAGAGGTAATTATTTTAAGATAAAGAGGTAATTTTTTTTAAGGTAAGGGAAAGAAAATAGAGACAATAACAAAAACAATAACAAAAACAAAAGTATAACAAAAAAGGGTTTGATTCACCAGGCAAATATCTGTGTCAAGGAACAGCTGATCTTCCAGTTCATTTTCAAAAATATCCATGCTTTTTAGCAGGTAGCCATTTATATCACAAGCTACTGCCTTGTTTCCGACATTGCCCTCTGTTAGTAAATGTAAGATGACATTCCTTCCCCTCCAAATTCACAATTAATTATTTTGGGGGGGAAATTCTAGATGGATGGATGGATGGATGGATGGATGAGCATTGTATGCTAGTTTTTGGTCTTCACTTTTATATGTATTTATTAACTCTATTTCTTATTCCAAAATAAAATCAAATAGGTCAATTTGTCCTGAAAAAGTTGGATGACATATTCCATTCCACCTGAGGGATTTATGCCATCCTTACTAAGAAGACAAAAAGGATTGATAAGAAAAATAATTCTGTAGTTTTGCAGATTTATCAATAGGGAATCAATAGGGATCTAGGCAGATGACTTTAAGGGTAATCCTCCATTTATTTACTTATTTGATGATTATTTATAATTTTCCAATCTATAAATGTTGCTTTAAAAAAACTTGATCTTGCAAACACAATTGTGCAGACTTGTTCCCCTTTTGTAATCCTTAACAATTATTCTTGAGTACAGTAATGCATCTAATGCATTAAATAAATCTCTAGGGGAGGATTAGGAGCCATAGGTAGAGGTTGGGTGGTAATATCTTCTAAATTCACCTGAGCTTCTTGCTTTTTTTTCTCTTTTCTTTTTATTAAAAGTTTTACAAATTTATTACAATATAAACCCCCCACCTCTCACCCCTTCCCCCCCTCCCCCACTTCCCAGAGCTGATTACAGGGTAACAAATAAACAAACATAATCTAACTAACATAAACCAACTATACTATCAATCAAAACCATAACACACTTTAACTTCTTCTCAAAACAAATATTAACAAATTAAAACAAAAATAATAATATAATTAAAACTATTAATAATTATCTAAAATCTACTCAAAAGCAACATAATACTTTTCAGTTTCATATTTCTTTTGAATATAATCAATCCATCTTCTCCAAACCATAATGTATCTTTCTTGTGAATGGTCCTTCAAGTAGGTGGAGATTTTCACCATTTCTGCTAAATTAGACACTGATTTTACAGTTGTCTTCAATGTTATAAAACAAAAACAAGAGTAAAACAGAAAATCAAAGCAGGTGGGATACATATCTGTGATGTAGGACGCTCAGAGTCACTTGTTGAGATGCATGGCTACCGAAATTAAATAGTTGGATTATTTTTATGTCAAGGACCAAATGTGGGTTGTAGGTTACAACTCCTATTTTCCATCTTTAGATAAATAATATTGACTCTTGGATAAGGATTAACAGAAGCTAGTCAGGGATGTTTTTCTAACGAAAATCGCACAATGACCAGCTAAAAGAAAAAGTAGTAGTAAACATATCTAATTAGAATTTTCAAATTCTGGAATCTATTCCTTCATGAGAGGTTAACAGGTGTGTTATTTCAGTGTCTAGAAAATATAATTAATAAATAGAATTTAAGCTATATGGTGCAATATTGAATCAGGTTTATGTCCCTTGTATGTTTTTATTGTTTTCAATTTGTATTATAACTGTTTATTTTCTTCTCAAAAACAGCAAGATTTAAGCTTGAAGTAAAAGATTATACATTTTTAATTATTTTTACATCAAAAAAAAGATATCACACTACAAATAAATAGTGCTGATGGCATTGTGTGTAATAAACAAATAAAACACATGCAGGTTGATACCTGATAATTATTCCTACATGGAAAGATGCTTTTAAGAAATTGTGCAAAGAACCATTTGAAATCCAACTAATAATAATAACAATAACAATAATAGTTGGAAGGGACCTTGGAGGTGTTCTAGTCTAGGGCTTTTCAACCTTTTCACCCATTGTATCACTTTTAGGATATGGCAATATCCAAGTACCACCAGTCGCCTAGCAAGGGGTCAAAAACTTTATGACCCAAAAAAAAAAAAGGAAAAAAGTGATAAAGTACAGGTAGTCCTCGACTTACAACAGTTGCTTAGTGACTGTTCGAAGTTACAACGGCACTGAAAAAAGTGACTTATGACCATTTTTCACACTTATGACTTTCAGCATTCCCAGAGTCATGTGATTTACATTCGGATGTAAATTGGCAATTGATTCATATTTATAATGGCTGCAGTGTCTCAAGGTCATGTGATCCCCTTTTGCAACCTTTTGACAAGCAAAGTCAATGGGGAAACCAGATTCACTTAACAACCTTTTATATCAGGGGTGTCAAACTCAATTTCATTGAGGGCTGCATTAGTATTGTGGTTACCATGGGGGGAGGGGTTTCCTTCCTTTTACCCTGTCTCTCTGCCTCCCTCCTTCTCATTCCCATTTCCTTCCTTCCTTCCTTCCTTCCTTCCTTCCTTCCTTCCTTCCTTCCTTCCTTCCGATCCTGATCCTGATCCTGATCCTGATCCTGAGCCAGTTGATTGGCACTTCTAGGTGGCTCAGCAGAAGTGCCAGGATCAGTGCAAGGCTCCAGATGATTGGTGCTTCTGGAGGGCTCAGCAGAAGCGCTGATCAGCTGTAGCTGCGCACACCGATTCTAGGCTCCTGCTGAGCCCCCATAGCCCTGCAGAAGCGCACGCCGATCCTGGGGCTCCTGCCCAGCTCACTCACTCATCCTACCCCCAAAAACAGGACGCTCACTCGCTTGCCCTTCCCCCAAAAACAGGTCGCTTTCTAAACAGACCGTTTGCTCATGCGCCCTTTCCCCAAAAACACGTTGCTCACTAAACACACCACTCAGGTGCCTTTTCCCCCAAAACACACTGCTTGCTCATTCACCCTTCGCCTAATGCACCACTTGGTAAATAGGCCACTCGCTCATGTGTCCTTTCCCCGAAAACACACCGCTTGCTAAACAGGCTGCTCGCTCACTCACCCTTTCTCCGAAAACAGGCCACTCGCTCTGTCTCTCCTCACTGCTTTGGTTAGAAAAGGCTTTTCTCTTCTTGCTCTCCCTCTCCCGCTAAAACCTGCCCCTTTTATACTTCTCTCCGCCCTCCTCCATTTCTCTTCTGGGTGCGTCGGAAGCTCCAATTACCATGTGTTCCAATCCTGGGGCTTATGCCAAGCTCTGCAGCTCCAGCTGATCTCCAGGTCTGTGCAGTGCCACTTTAGCTGGTTCCCTCCCCCGCTACACTTGGCTAGGGGGTCGCGTGCCACCTGCCAGGTGCTAAAGTACCACTGGTAGTACGGGTACCACCAGTTGAAAAGCCCTGTTCTAGTCCAACCTCTTCTCAGACAGGAAACCCTGTACCATTTCAGACAAATGATTGTCCAGCCTCTTCTTAAAAACTTCCAGTGTTGCAGCATTCACAACTTCTGGAAGCAGGTTGTTCCACTGATTAATTGTTCTAGCTGTCAGGAAATTTCTCCTTAGTTCTAGGTTGCTTCTCTCTTTGAATAGTTTCCTTCCACTGCTTCTTGTCCTGCCTTCAGATTTTTTGGAGAATAGCTTGATTCCCTCTTCTTTTCTTACTGCTAACATTACTGTATAATAATACAATATTACAATAATATGAGCTGTCCAGAGTTACCCTGTGGTAAGATGAGTGGCCAATAAATAACAGAAAGCAAAGAATAGTAATAATGGAAGGTTTTGCCAGTGGACAAAAACTAGCCCCCTTCCGCGTATCTCTCCAAGGAACTGTTTTGAGAGCAGTCCTTTTCAAATTATGAATGAATGATTTTTCTGGGTTTTCTGGCAATATTACACATTACTTAAAATAGCTAAAAGTGAAAAATAGTTCAACTAGTCTCAAAAAGATCTTTCAAAATTTAAGGGATGTGTATTTTAAGCACACACACTTTTCCCCAATTTAAATATATACAGATAGGATCTGATTTGTCAATGACTGGCCAGGAAAGGAGTAATGAGGTTCTGGCACTTAGTTTGATTAAAAATTATAACTGCTGTTCAACAGTACATTCATATTTGGCTTGTTGAGAAAAGGGTAAAAAAAAAGGCTGCTTGTATTGTAGTGCCTGTGTACAAATTTATTATGCAGCTGTTCTTGGAATACTATATACAGTTCACTGAACCTCAAAAATAATATTATAGAACTGGAGAAAATGCCAAAAAGGGTGACCAAAATAACTTAGGAGCAGGAACAATTCAGGTCACAGGTTGTAAGAGTGTAGTATTACTCATGAAAAATAATATCTAATTAAATTAAAGTTTGCTTATGGACAAAAGATATCTAAAACTGCTCACTTTGATGTTTTCATGGTGACACAATGTACAATTATCCCAACGTGGAAAGATGCTTTTAAGAAATTGGGCAAAAGGAACTATTTGAAATGCCAACTTTTCTTACTCTTAACATTACTGTACAATAGTACAATAATATTACAATAATATCCTGTGGTAATATAGGTGGCCAATAAATTTGATAAATAAATTGGATAAATAAATAAATATAGTAGTCTGTTGTATTTGTGGATTTTATGTCGTCAGAAACTGGGAAATTTTAAATAAACATACATTTGACAGAAAACTTGAAAGTTGAACAGAATAAAACTCTAACAGAAGTTTAGGTCACCAAAGCAGTTCAGGCTTTTCATATAATTTGAAGTGATCCAAATTTCTCTTCCTAATTTGGGAATCTTTTCTTCAATTGCTATTAGTCTTCTTGAGTCTTGTGAGATTTCTAGTACAGGTTTTGCATAAAATAAATTATGAAATAGCGACATAAATTACATATAATTCATGAATATGTACACATGTTTCATAATATTATGTAAATTGCTGCTAAAAATAGTAAAAACAGTCTTAGATAAGTAATAATGGACTGGATAAATCTAATAAGCTAAACAATAACAAATAAAAGATCT